TGACAAATGCCAATTTCCAGTCCGACCATGAGGGTTTTACTGAGTCTCCATACCATAACATCGTCCGCCACCAAACTGTAGACGTTGAACAACGCACGCGTCAGCACACCGCTCAATTCTGCCGCCCTCTGTAAACCCCTGTTGTGCTGCCATCTGAGCTTCGTCCAGATGAAATCTCGACGCGTCATCGAACAAAACACCGACCCGGATCTTGTTCCTGTATCGCAGATGATGCATGCTTCAGGCAAGACGTGCCTGTCGGTGACGTTGGAGCAAATTCGGACGTATTGCAGGCCAAGCTGGGACCAGATGCTTTGCCCTCAGTTGGTTCCCAATGGTTCCAGGAGAATGGTCCGAGCAGTCAAACTGGCAGTCTGGAATCGATTCTTCAGATGGGTCAGAAAGAATGTGGATTATTTTGTTGATGTGACGTCAAACGTTGGACGGGCCGGTCTGATCCAAATCTCTCGTGTCTCCGATTATGTTGAAACGTCCTCCATGGAGATGAGATCGTGTTCCTTGATGGACACCAAAATATCTGGCCTCTTCTGATCCATTTTGGTAGTATTCCAGTCTCCATCATACCCAATGGCATGGAGACGCTGATTTTATGTAAACCGTAGAATGACGTAGGCACAATGTAGGTTGAAATTTTACGTGTTTTCCCTCAACATCTCAGAAGCTAGAGAATAATCAACCATTCTTCAATTTTAATACCACCGTGTGTGGAACTTCAGGTGAACTTTTGTATTTTATGCAATTTTGTGTTATGCATAGTTACTTTTTCCTTTAGTATATATTTCCTTTGTGGTTTGAAATCTTAATATCGCTCATTTACTGGAGAACTGTAGCTCCGCTTGATATGCTTTAAATTACATACCGCTGAAAATTGCAGCATGATATAATTTTGATGATAATATAATATAGACTGACACATCCCTGTGCATGGGTAATTCTGTAACAGGACCTCGTTAGGATGAGAAAGCTACAATTAACTCTGTGTGTACCTAGTGGCTGCAAGAGTTGTATACTACCAAGGGTGTTGAGATTGATAATACGATGTGCTGCTGATTGACATCCGATGATAGAGGGAAAAAATACCATCGCCTTGAGCATGGCACTATTGTTGGTGGACATGTGCACTATATAAATATCCTATATATTTCTTCTCCGTGCATGGGATAATTCCAACAGGACCCCGATGTCACGATGAACGAACAGGGTCATGTAGTCATGGACCTGATGTGCATGAGGTGCTTGGAAGTATGTGTTCTGATGCATGGCTGACAGACCTGACATAAAGGGGGAGCACAACACAATTTGTTTCTGATGGCAAAACAAATTCCTCTCGATGACAAAGATAAACGTGAATTGCTGGTAGTTGCACCTTACCGAATCCACATCGAATGTGAAGTTTGGCTACAGACAATTTATGTTTGTAAGCAGTTTGAGTATTCTGTTCACACGTTAACCCTGTATTCACCAAGACACATTTGTTTTAGTGGGCTTCAGGTTCCAATCTTCTACCACCAAAACTAATGACTGTCATTTTTTCAAATTTCACCTCTCTCCATATATCTCTGTTATCTGACAAAAGAAAATGGGGACTCCTTTATCATTTTGGTTATCACTTCTCTTTATATGTAAGGTTCCTGTCCACAAGGACGTTTTGGGGACTCCTGCTAGCTCTCCTGCAACTGCGGCTCGTCCTGTAAATAACAGTACAACAGGAGTTTGAGCCGGTGCCTGTGATGTTGGGATGGAGGGAAGGACATGGGTCACTCTGTCAAAAGAGTAAAATTAAGGGATAACTCCTACAGATGTCCATTTATCTGGAGGGCATTTGGTTTGTGTTTTCTAGACTTGCAAGCTGTCATCAATCCGATTATACAATTTTCTACATTTTAAATATTCTTCCGAAGGCATTTGGTAAGTTTAATTTAACTCTTTGTTTCTTTAATTAAACCTTTGAAACAAGTTTTGTCATAGAAGGGTTGGAGATCCTGTTTCCTTTTGGTGAGTCTCATTGCATTTTCATTAATAAGATAACGCATGCATTAAACACTCTCATATTGTGTAAGCGTCCATTTAATGATGGTACCAAACATACCTGTTTCCAGTTCATTAAACAGTTGAAATCTTCCAGAAAATGTTGCCTACGGAAAACAAGCACTCAGGTTCAGGAGACGCATACCCTCTCAAGGAGGTTGGACTCCAGAGAAAGCTGTGGACGGGAAAAAGAGACCAGGACGTAAACAAACTGCCCTGCTATCATTCAAGTGGACTACCGACCTTCTGGTGGGTGAACCTGGCTACTATGTACAGAATAAACTCCGTCAGGGATCTACAACAGGGCTGGATGTAAGTCGTTATCACCCCATAGCAATGCTGAGACTCTCTCTGTGACTCTCTTTCTTTTAAATATGACAATACCGATAATCAAAGCATAGAAGTGCGTCACTTCGTAGAAGTCAAACATGTATCTGCCTGTTAATATTATCTTAAGTTACATTACCACATCAGCCAGCCGATTGCTGAGGATGCTTTTGAATGTGAACATTTAACTAAGTTTAGCATGGTTAATACCGTTGTGTTATGTCTAAGGTTCAGATGGCATGTTAAGACTTTTTTTAAACACCGTTTTTGGACATGTTAAAAATTTAAAAGGTTGGGAGGCTCATTAGTCATTAAACTCTTGGCACATTTAAAGATCTCGCATAGACTGGCAAACTGCAGCATCTCTGTTGGACTAAGCCCTGACTCGACAGACGTCTGCTGGGCACTTTTCCATCGAATCCCAAGGACATCTCTGACGCTTCATGGACCTGACATGTAACGGAGAAGGGAGATTCTTCTATCATCAGGAACCCAGGCAGAGCTCCTTCACTGGATTGATTCCCAAATATATGCGAGGTGGAGATATATGGTAGGTGTTATTCTCTTCAATTACTTTCATACTATATATTATTGTTATGAAATATAAAGAAAATATCTGTGACAAAATGTAAAATTCACATTGTGACACTGTATCTCTATTTTCCAGTTTGTTCAGAAGGAACTTTCGGCCCTAATTGTAGCGAGTTCCTGTCACTGCCTTGAACTCAACGTGTGACCACGTGACAGGGAAGTGTCCTGGTGACTGCCGCCCAGGCTGGAAGGGGCAAACTGTTCCACACGTAGGCAACACATGAACTGACTTGCCACCTGCCTTGCTTAATCACAATATCAATCACACATATCCTTCCTCTCTTGCCTGTTTGTCTCTCACCCCAGCTCTCTCTCCACTCTCTCTCTGGGCGGTGAGTGGTTAAAGTGCCAAGTTGGCTCTCTCTCTGTCTGATGTAAATGGGCATACACATATCCCATTTCCATGTCCCCTCCTAACAAACGTGGTATGTCCATCTCCATCTCCCATCCATCATCTCGCATCTATCTATCTGGATGTAAATCATATCATATATCTAACCATCCATCCCCTCCTAAATCTGTGTGCCTTGGCCATTCCCATGTCCCATCCATCATCTATCTTCCATCTGTCTAATATCTATCTCTGCGTGTCTATACCTGTGTGTGTACGGATAAGAAATATGTCATCACTGATAACATATAAGAAAGTAAGATTACGGATAACAACTAATTTTATTATATGATGTGATCGCTTTGATATGGATTCTTGTGCCGTTGTCACCCACTCTTGCTTGGACATCGGTATAAGAATCCATGCCGAAGCGTCGCATCAAAATTATAAAAAGTTGTTATCCATAAAAACAATCTTACTTTCTTATTAGTCACCAACTTCTAAATGTCATTCAAACAGATCATGATAACACATATCGATACTATTTACACAATTAGTATAATATGATATCAGGTGTTTCATATACCCAACCCAACAGACAGACAATAAGGAAATTTAAATAGAATAGAATTTTAAACAGTGAATACATCTTGAATGGAAAACCCTACAACTTAGGAGAGCTAGGGCCAGAGCCACCTTCTTTTACAAGGTTATAAACAACATCATTGCTACCGATCTTCACATATATATACATGGAGTTGACTATCGCACAAGAGGATCATCTAATAACAACATTGCACAATTAAGGGGGAAATGAGAGCTCTTCATACAAAGCTTCCTTCCTAGGGACAGTCATTATGTGGAACGGCATACCACCAACTATCAGACTATCACCAACCGTAGCTTCGTTCCAGACATCGCTCAGGGCTGAACACGTCTTGACCGAGCGACTTTATCTCACTCTATCTTAACTGTTTGAAAAACACAAAAATAAGTTGCAAACACACGTTCGCTTTGAAGGAAAACTAAAACCATAAAAATATTGACTGTTTGGTTCCACCCTGGCGGGCTGCGTGTAGCACACTCAACGCAGGAACACCTACACCCTTGCGGGGGCTTGTTCCTTCACGGGAAGAGTGACAGTGAATATTTAGATAAGTTCCTCTAAAACATTTATCTCTCTGTCAGCATCATAAGTGACACAAACTTCCATTTCTTAGGTTCAGGACATGGAGCTGACACACTTCCATGTGTATTTACCTTGCCATCATTATAACGATAAGTTGATTATTCCAGGCTGCCCCGCGGGTCGTCATATGGTATAAACTGCAACAGAGCCTGTTCCAACCGGAACTGTATCAGTGATAGTTCGTCATGTGATCTCCGCAACGGGTCAATGTGACAGTGGATGTCAAGCTGGATGGAGAGAATCTGACTGCACACAAAGTGAGACACGTACATCGTGATATGAAACAGACTGAAACATATTAACATTAACTGTCCCATAAGGCAAAATTGTGTATTCAACCTTTTCTTTCATTTCAATGTACGTTTGAAAACTGTTTTTATTATAATAGATCCATTGTTAATATGAAATATAAGTCCTTGTCTGATTGCATTATGATACATACGCAGAAATGTTTTCTTTATTGTCTAATTCTGTAACAGAATGTGACAGTCTTCACTATGGGGAACAACTGCAGCCGAAAGTGTGCAGAACGACACTGTGCCCTCAACACTTCCTCCTGTGATCATGTGACTGGGGCATGCGACACTGGTGCATGCCAGCTGGATGGAAGGGAGGCAAATGCACTGAAGGTGGGTACATTCCACACCTAACATTTGGAATATTAGATTAATTTCAAATACATTTCGGACACATAGCATTTGTGATTATATTATCACCATCGCATTGAGCGTGGTATTTAGGAGCACATAACGTTAAATTAAGAAGCGAGGACGAGTGCCCAATCGTTCCAGGCGCCGCAATTCGCTGTGATAATCAGAAGCATCATAACGTGGTTGGAACCGTTGTCGTTCCGATTGTGTGTTTAGGTTTTGCTGCCATAGCTATGCTCGGGGTTTTCACCAAAATGGAAACCGTCTAGCATTAGCATCCCCAGGAGTCTCCTCCCACATTAAGCTGACATGATAAGTCCGAAACACTGTTCAAACCAGTGTCAATCCAAACTTACTCGCACCCTTTGGATTCACTTTGGTGAAACATTTTAAGTTCCCTAACTTTAGTAGCTGAGTTAATTTCACCAGTTACAAATATCTCTTACATGACAGGGAAATAATTTGAAGTGTGTCTTTAATTTCACCCAATTAAATGGCCAGTAGTGGTCAAGTGGTGTCTAAGTTGCACAGATAGAAGATGGGTGTATCTTTAAAACCATGAAGTAAACATCAGACTTATTATCATTAGGCGCATATTATCGACGAGTACTTCATATGTTAGATATGGTGACCTACCTTCAGTAGCTGGTGATCTCCAGCCGTTTTTATATTGTATTTTCCATAAAATGTGTTTAAGTTTACAGTTACATCACTTTATACTAGTTATTTTATAGCCGAGAATGAGACTAGAAATAACTCACTCACTTTAAAGACCATACGTAATGTTTAAAACCCCAAAGTCAACATCAGAATTATTATCGTTAGGAACATATTACCGAAGAGTACTTCAGATGTTAGAAGATAGATGTACCTTTAACAACCTGAAGGCAGCATCAGAATTATTATCATATGCATATTATCAAAGAGTACTTCATATAATTACAGTTACGTTGATGTTTGAGTTTTTCATACCCTTATTTGTATGCATATCCACTGAGTTGTGGATCCACCGTGTGTGTGGTGGTTTGCCGTTTTATGTACAATCATATAGTCACTATCAATATTATGAGGTCCACCACAATAAGGCCGAAGTTGGATCAAACAATGTTTGAACATTGACTTTGGTGTTGGAGCATATCCTCCCATTATTGCGTGTGTAATCACCTGCTACAGAATGTACCAATGGCACATACGGCCCCAACTGTCTGAAGAAGTGCGATGACAGACACTGTAACGGTACTTCAAGCTGCCCCAAGGTTGACGGGAGATGCACCACTGGATGTGACAAAAGGTGGGCAAGGCCGGACTGCTCTGGTAAGTAACAAGGTGCTGTAGTAGCTAAGGAAAGTGAGATGATGCACTCTGAGAATGACAGTGACATGTGAAACATACGACTGTACGAGAGCAATCTCTACTACTGAGTGACGTGGTGTTTACACCGCGCTCTTCAATATCCAAGCTATATGTCGGTGGTCTGTTAATAATCAAGTCAGACCATAACATCCAGCCATCAACAGCATGAGCATCGATCCAGTCAACTGGGATACGATGACACATGTCAACGAGCCTTGCACCCTCTTACGACGAACATGGGAACGAAACTGATCTTGAGTAGATAATGTATCCGTAGCATATCATATTTTTCAATAGTAGACATCGCATCCCAATTGCGTAGATCGATGTTCATGCTGTCTCACTGGATTGTCTGGTCCAGACTCGGTTATTTACAGACCGCCGACATATAGCTGGAATGTTGCTAGGTGCGATGTTAAACAACGAAGAAACAAACCCAAGGAGTTTCGTTGAATTGTTATAGGGTTATGAATCCATAATAACCCCAAGTAAAGCATGAAGATGATATCCTTTTGTACGGATGTCTATGATATTGATGAATTGAATGTTGATAATAACAGGCTTCCGAAGCCTTGGTCATTATCACGAACAGTTTGTTGGCCGATTAAACAGGACAAGCGCATATGTGTATTCCTCTGTCTGTCACTGTTTCTCAAATTCGAATACTATCTATAGTAATCCATTGTGAAGGACGGCATTCAATCACTATATATTACTTTTTTGACTGACTTAAACTTTTGATTGCTGCAGATTGTACCACAGGCTTCCACGGTCCTGAGTGTATTGAGTGTGGTCACTGTGCTACCAACACTACCTGTGACTCTACGACAGGTGAATGTGGTTCTGGCTGCCTGGAAGGCTTCTCTGGATTACAATGCAAAGGTTTGATATTTTATTATACTTTGTTGATAACGGATAAAGGATTGGATAAACAAAGAAATCACTTACGGTTCCTTTTTCTAGGAACACCCCGTAAACATGGTACTATACTGATATGGCAATGTAAAAAACATCACTTTCACTTACTCCTGACATATATTGGTTGAAGTTCGACCATTAGTTCGTATCAACAGATTACAAAATCAGTGAAAGTTATCAATTTCATAATGTTTTAGATGGCGTCGGTGAATGTTCAATAATGTACCTCTGCTTATGTGCATACACTTGCACCATAAGCCAGATGAACAATGTTTGCTTTCTTCTTTGACCTAGAGTCTGTGGGCAACGGATCGTCTGTCGCCGGCGCTGTGGTGGGAACGTTACTCCTGTTACTTATCGCTGTTATCATTGCTGTCGTTGTATTCAGGTGAGTGAAGCGTGTGAAGTACATTGTGTCATTGTATTCACGTGTGTGTGACGTGTGTGTTCATTGTGTCATTGTATTCACGTGTGTGTGAAGCGTGTTAAGTACATTGTGTCATTGTATTCACGTGTGTGTGAAGCGTGTTAAGTACATTGTGTCATTGTATTCACGTGTGTGTGAAGCGTGTGTAGGTCCTTGTGTCATGTATTCGGATATGCGCAGCGTGTCTACCTCATTGTATCAATGTATTCAGTCAGGTGTGTGAAGCGTATCTACCTCATTGTGTCAATGTATTCAGGTGCGGGAAGCGTTTCTACTGTATTGTGTCCATGCATTCACGGGAGCTAAGCTAGTCTATTACATCATTGTGACTAGGTGGGTGACGCTTGTCCACAAGAGATACTTCGTATTCAAGTGAGTCAGCCCGCCTCCTTCACTGCATTTGTGTCAATGAAAGTCTGTTTCAGTATGTAATTCGGTTCAGGTGGTGAACGTTGTCTACTTCTGTCTAAATGGTGTTCATATACTGATTCACACTGTGTTCATGTTTTGTTTGTCGAGTCCATGAAGGGCAAACGTTGCTGATTCAGTTTTCTAAGACAATTACTGAACAACAACACTATTATACAGTTATCATTTAAACATGACTTCAGGGTGGCGAGGGAAACATTCCAGCTCTGTCAGAGGTCACCATGCCGTCTTCAACCAAAAGGAAGGACAGAAGGGTAAGTATATGTAAATAACACATGAATTTGCATTGGGGGCGCAAAATCTGTAAATAATCGAGTCTGGAACAGACAATGCAGTAATCAATAGCATGAGTATCAATCGGGATACGATGACATATGTCAACCATTCTGACCCCCCGATCCCGTTAGTTGCCTCTTACGACAAGCATGGGTTGCAGAAGACCAATTCCAACTCAGATTTCGACGGGTCTGCTAATGATACAAACGTGTTGTACATTTAGAGGAACATCATCTTTATATTCTATGTTAAGAACCAGACACCTGGAAACTTAAATAGTGAAACAATAATGTTTCAGATGTTTATGTTTGTGAAGCGGAAATACAAGTTAAACAGCAAACATACGAGCTTTATGTCTTTATTCGTCTGAAACTTTTGATTTACTCGTTACTTCGATTACTTTCTCGAATTTGGTTGGTTTGGGAAATAACAAGAAAAATATCCAATGCAAGAAGAAAATAATAATGAATTTGTGTGTTTATTGACACTTAACTGAAAGAAGTAACATGTCTGGAGCGACCACAGAAATCCGCCCCTCGAAACCAGTGAAAATTCAAACAAATTCGAAGCTTGAGGATTTTAGTAAAGGCTTGAAATAACGAAAACATTACCAAACTACCAACATATAATCAGAGTGTCGAGAACGTTTTGTCGAAAAATAATTAAAAATTACGAGAAATGTCATTTTGAAATAGATGATTTCTGCAACTTATGTGGCGCAGTTAGGTTTCCATGGTTCCAAATGTGCAGTATATTTTGTTGTGGCTGCTTATTGTACACTTTTTTACCTTTTACAGTCTCCTATAGTTGGTGGCACCATGTGCCCTGTATGATTACTTTCACTATTTAATCACGATTCCCATGAAACAAGCATCCTGTGAAGAAGCATCCTGACCAGTTACTAAAATGTAATATTTCAAGGATATCTTCGACCATAATTGATGTGTAGATGTAAACTCGCAATGGATACATGATCTTTCAGGTGATGACAACGTTTACATGAACGTGGACGTCGACACTTTCCCCATCTATGCGACTCCCAACGTCAAAGCTAAAAAAGGAAAGTCAGGGAGTATAGACACTCTTGATGCCGACACGAGAAGTGCAGACACTCTTGATGCAGACACGAGGAGAAGTGTTGACACTCTTGAGGTGGAGAGCGACGAGGAGGGAAGAGTACCTTATATACCTGAGGTGAACTACTACAACATGGAAGATGTTGCATCGAGACACGTCGTCCCTGTTGCTGACCTGGAGACCACCATCAGGAACATGGACGACAACTCAGAAATGGTTGAGGAAGAATTTAAGGTAAATGCATCTTCCTTGGCAAGTGTCCTATGCCTGAATAACATCAATGCAATGCCTTGTTATGTGATAGTAGGCATGTCCGGAATAATGAATGAGGGCTCCAACACCAGAATGTTCTTTATTGAAGTGCTGAACTAAGACCTCTTTGGAATTTTGTCTCACATTAACCATGATCTGTTCAAAGCTGCAAAAACAAAAAATAAACACTCACCAAATGATGTTATTTTCCAGCGTTTACCCGATGGATTCGTGCATCCGTGTGAAGAGTCCAGAAAGCCTGAAAATACGAAAAAGAACCGATTTAAAGGATATTACCCATGTAAGGGATTCTTGCTACTACTTCAAGAGATGCTATTGTAAAACTGCCAACTGTATATAGATGTTATGTGGATGGATCAGCTATTTGTAATGCTGAAAGGCAAAAGAAACGTTGTAATGTTGGTGACATTTCAGTATTAATGGAGTATGTGAACCTATTTTTTAAAAAATATATCCCGGAAGCCAAGTTTGAGGAAAACGTGAATCGTGGTCGTATAGCCTGTATTGTCCAATAAAGTATTGTTTGAGATTGAGGTTTGAAATACTTTTTGTTTGAACCGATTTAAGCACGCGCATCTCGATTTCAATGCTGTGTTTGTGCAAACTCGTCCCTTTCCCAAAACAAAAACATTTCAAACCTCAATCTCAAACAATCCTTTATTGGCCAAAACAGGCTATACGACCAGGATTCATGTTATCCTCAAACTTGACTTCCGGTGTATATTAAAAAAAAATAGGTGCAAATACTCCATTGATATTTAAATGTCTTTTCCATATTATGACGTTTCTTTTGCCTTTCAGTTTATTTCTTAATTTCATATTTAACCCAGATGACCATAACCGGGTGATGCTGCAGGATGACCGTGATGGCCGTAGGGGAGACTACATCAACGCCAGCTTCCTGGACGTGAGTTAGACTGAGAAGTCGACTTGGTACACCTGCAATCCTGAGAGAGTATCAAGTGCAATGTACAACTGGCGTTTAGTTTTTTTCTCAAATTACGAAAAGTATCAAAACCGTGGAATGAATATCAGGTAAAAGATGTTTCGCTGAAGTCGTTGCAAGGATTTTCCAGGAACGTGGCTTCCTGAATGTGCTCAGTTTATGATGATATTTGGCTTTGGAAATATGAATACCTTTTATTGTGTTTTATTCTGCAGGGCTACAAGAAAGAACGGTATTACATAGCAGCTCAAGGTATGACATTCCCGTTCCTTGCTTTTCTATACATTGGTTTTGTGACAGAAACGCGTTACCTTCAGATCGACACAAACGTTGAAACTATCATATCCTTTCAGTCATTTTAATGCCTTTAGTCAATGACCAACGTGATCGGTGGACATGGTGTCATTACGTGTGTACTTGCTGATGTAGATTTGTGGATGTGTCTTTGGTGTAGGTCCTTACAAACCCAACATCGTTGATGACTTCTGGAGGATGATCTGGCAGGAGGGTGTTAAGGTGGTTGTGATGGTGACCAGCTTAGTCGAAGGTGGAAGGGTAAATATTTAAAGAGTAAACTGCAGCGATATGATGAGATATATATCTTTCATACTAAATGTTCTAATTACAACTATCCGAAATATTCTAATTAATGTAGTTTTAATTATAGTTTTGGTTCTTTTATTGCATCTGTTTGTTTACGACTGAATTTGAAGCTTCAAGGATGCGAGTATTGCAATGTACCATTGAGCTATGATTTAGAAATAGATGTGCCTGTTGTAATTCGTAGATGAAGTGTTTACAATACTGGCCGGAGGAAGGAACACAAGAGTATGGCGGCATTACGGTAACCATGGAAACAGTGAACGAACTGTCGGACTTCACGATCAGGAAGTTGACAGCCTGTAAAAAGAAGGTACTGTCACGTCTTATTTGTTATGGTATGCTTTATCCAGCTTTAAGACAGTGCTAACAGTTTGACATCATAAGCCTCGAATTATGCAATTGAATACGATGAAATGTATCAACGTGACCAATAGATCGAGTTAGTTCCTGTTAAGTTGAACTCTGATTTACCGTAAATGCTTATAACTTGATAGTGTCTGTGCCTGACCCTATTGTGCCACAGTTGTAGCCAGATTGTAGCAGGAAGTGCTATGTATGTATGTATGTATGTCTGTATGTATGTATGTATGTATGTATGTATGTATGTATGTATGTATGTATGTATGTATGTATGTAGGTATGTAGGTATGTAGGTATGTAGGTATGTAGGTATGTAGGTAGGTAGGTAGGTACGTAGGTACGTAGGTAGGTAGGTAGGTAGGTACGTACGTATGTATGTTGTTGAGTTGTTGAGTTGGGTTTTGCGTCACATCGGCATTATTCCAGCCATAAAGTGACGAGAACAAGTTTGCATAGCAAGTCATAGCATCAAATTTAAAGGCAGGCAATTTGTTCGTCACATTTCACAGTTACAATTTATGGTAGTTACGTTTCACAGTTACAATTTATGATGCAGATCAACTTCCCTCAGGTAGTTCACTATCAGATGATTGCTCACGCGGGAGAACAGATCTTTTAGGTTTGTTGCATCATAATGTGAGTCCCTTGCAGTCCACGCATTCAAGCAGAATATGCTTGATGGTGAAAACCTCATCGCAAGAGACACACATAGGGGGTCCATCCCCATCCGTTTTCAGCAGATAGTCATGTGTAAATCGACTGTGGCCAATACGACATCGTCGTAAAATTACCTCATCACGTCTTGACTGACAACCCAAGTAGGTATAACCGATTGTTGGCTCATTGCGAATGTATGTATGTATGTATGTATGTATGTATGTATGTATGTATGTATGTATGTATGTATGTGTGTATGTATGTGTGTATGTATGTATGTATGTTTGTATGTGTGTATGTGTGTGTATGTATGTGTGTATGTGTGTGTATGTATGCATGTATGTCTGTATGTACGTACGTACGTTAATGTGTGTGTGTGTATGTATGTATGTATATGTGTATATGTATGTATGAATGTATGTATGTGTATGTATGTATGTATGTATGTATGTATGTATGTATGTATGTATGTATGTATGTATGTATGTATGTATGTATGTATGTATGTATGTATGTATGTATGTATGTATGTGTATGTATGTATGTATGTATGTATGTATGTATGCATGTATATATGTATGTATGTACGTACGTGTATGTGTGTATGTGTGTATGTGTGTATGTGTGTATGTATGTATGTATGTATGTATGTATGTATGTATGTATGTATGTATGTATGTATGTATGTATATGTGTGTGTGTGTGTGTGTATGTATGTATGTACTACACATACATACACGCACGTACGTACGTGTATGTATGTGTAGTTGCCTTTATGATGTGCATAGTATTTATACATGCGTATGTTGTGTATGGCTGTATGTGTATTCATGTATGAATTATCCTTGAATGGTGTATGTGTGTATAACTGTCGACACACTAATGAACAAGTGTTGCTCCAGTCACAAGATTTTCTTAACCGGACCTTCTTGTTTACAGACCGCCATCAAATACTAGCAATACTGATTATGTTTCTAGGAATCCATGAATCGACAGATCTACCACTTCAACTTCACCTCATGGCCTGATCATGGCGTACCCAATACGTTTTCTCTGCTGGAATTCATGTGGCGAGTCAAGGGCATCTGTGGCCGACCCGCCGAACCCATCGTAGTTCACTGCAGGTGTGCATTTTCCGGACGAATCGACCAGTATAATGCAGGCATTTGTTGAGTGAGTGAGTTTAAATTTTACGCCGTACTCAGCAATATTGAAGGCTATATGGCGGCGGTCTGTAAATAATTGTGTCTTGACCAGACAATCCAGTCATCAACAGTGTGCGCATCCATTTACGCAATTGAGATACGATGACATGCGTCAACCAAGTCAGCAAGCCTGACCAACCTGTCCTGCTAGTAGCCTCTCACGACAAGCATGGGTTACTGAAGATGAATTCTAACCCGGATCTTCCATTTCCATTCAACAGTCTGACCCATAGTTATCTTTTTAAGAAATTACTGGGAAAATTGTTTTTTCAATCCAACACAATAGCTGTCTCAGGTAATAACATGGCAAAAAGTGGCACAAAGATACATCAAATGGAAAATCCATGTTTATACAGAAGGAATATCTTCATATATCCCCTTACTCTGCATTAATATACTTTCAAATTTGCTTTGTGCTGCTCAGTGCTGGAATAGGAAGAACAGGCACATACATAGCTATAGAGAGTCTTCTGGATCAGGCAGCGGCTGAAGACGCTGTGGACGTCGTCAGCTTCGTCTCCAACATGAGAGGGCAGAGGAAGGGCATGATACAAACTCCGGTTAGTGGTTCGTTTGAGTATGTATCAGTATCATCACATTGATGCTTCTTCTCTCTCCCGTGGCGATCCTGCTAAGAGTAGTTTCCAAGTATGTCTCATGAGGCGCTGTGACGGGATGGTTTTGTGTCATCGTGCCCCGGTACCATGGAAAGATGCTCCTTCTTTCAAAATGTAAATGTTGCAACTGGAATATGCCTGCAACTCCAAGCATCATTCATTCACCCCCTTTTCAGCACACTCAATGGGAATGGTATTTCTTTTCTTTATAATTTATTGACTGAGTTTAGTTTGAAGCCGCTTTGAGCAATATTCCAGCAACAGCACCGTGGGGAACACCAGAAATGGACTTTACACATTGTACCCATGTAAGGAATCGAACCCGGGTCTTTGGCTTTAACCACTAAGCTACCCCACCGTCCCTTATAATTTAGTTTCCGCACAAATCGGGGATAATGACCACAAATACAAGCATTACAGTTACGTCTGAACTGTCTCCTACAGCAGAAAACCCTAACGTTATTCGTGGTAACATGGTATTTGTGGCACTGAATCGCATATCCACAGGACCAGTACGGGTTTGTGTACCGGGCGGTGACTTCAGCTGTGATGACTGGAGATACGTCAGTGGATGGAGATACAATCAGGAACATCGACCTGATCAACCTTGGCACCGTGACCATGGGGAACAGAACTGTTGAGGAACATCTACAGGTAAAGAACACTGTGATGGTTAAACAGTTGAACGTATTGCCCAAAGCGGGAATATGACTACAAAATCGTAGCCTCGGTAAATATGGCATGAATAATATGAATGATATGACTCAGTATATGCTGTGAATACTCAGGGATGATGCAATTGTGTATTTAGATATAGGATATATACATAGTATAGGACTAACATCCAAGGCACAAATTCTGAACCATAAACAACTGTGTATACTAACATCAATGTTTGACGTTTCTCTTGTAGGCTTTCGAGTCTGTTCCAGTCAGTAAGTATGGACAAAACAATATACGGAACTGCTGTAATTAGCATAACTTTTAATTTGGATTCAAAACTATTTTTCAACTACAATATAAAATTGTCTTGTTCTGTGTGTATCCATACTGAGCTGATCAAACTTACAGAAAAGTGTTGTTGTTTTTAGAAACCAAGAAGAGGCGGACAGTACTGATGCCAGTGAGTGAGAAATTCATGTATATGGAACAGGTTGTATTGTTTGCTATCTTCAATCAATCTTTATTCAGTACTTAAAAAGGCAACAGGTCGGTAGTACATGAATAGTTAGAAGACATTTACAAATTCTTTTCTATATAACAATCCTTTTTCCTTAAACTCATAGCGAAATAGATGCACATTGCCAGATTCTGTTATAATAATGTAGTAGTATCTGCTTACAATGACATTAATTTTCTTACACTTGGACGCTTACAATAATATGGCTCTAGGTATTTCGTTCGTAGAGTCGTATAAACAGGACAGATTGGAGGAAAATGTAGTTCATCCTCAACAGAATTCACATTGCATAATTGAAATATTCTACTATCTTATTCCGTAAATACGTCTACAGTCTTCTAGTATTCTACAGTCTTATGCAACTATTATGAACATCTAAAGAAAATGCAGTTACACACCATCACATAGTGTCAAGTTGGTTTCATTGTGTTCAAGTCCTACAGGTGCAGGTATGGTTTCTTCCTCCCGGTGGCAGATGTGGACAAGGAGAATCTTTGGGCTCACGTCTGTAATAGCAACAGCTGCACTGTTATCACACTCGGAAAATCCTCTAAGGTAAGTCTCTTTACACTCGTACAAGACACTCAATGTACACCCAGGCCAGCGTCCTTACATTCGCAATGTACACCCCTGTCACCCTCGTTACGCTCGGACTATACTCCAAGGTCGGACTATACACCAAGGTCAGGGTCCTTACACACGAGCAATACAGCTAGGTCAACACCAAGGTCAGATTCCTTACACACGAGGAATACAGCTAGGTCAACACCAAGGTCAGTCTCCTACACACGAGGAATACAGCTAGGTCAACACCAAGGTCAGGCTATTTACACACGAGCAATACAGCCTAGGTCAACACCAAGGTCAGTCTCCTTACACACGAGCAATATAGCTAGGTCAACACCAAGGTCAGTCTCCTTACACACGAGCAATATAGCTAGGTCAACACCAAGGTCAGGCTCCTTACACACGAGCAATATAGCTAGGTCAACACCAAGGTCAGGTTCCTTACACACGAGCAATACAGCTAGGTCAACACCAAGGTTAGGCTCCTTACACACGAGCAATACAGCCAGGTCAACACCAAGGTCAGTCTCCTTACACACGAGCAATATAGCTAGGTCAACACCAAGGTCAGGCTCCTTACACACGAGCAATACAGCTAGGTCAACACCAAGGTCAGGTTCCTTACACGCGAGCAATACAGCTAGGTCAACACCAAGGTCAGGCTCCTTACACACGAGCAATACAGCTATGTCAACACCAAGGTCAGGCTCCTTCCACACGAGCAATACAGCAAGGTCAGCCTCCTTATACTCAGAAAATATACCCAGATCAGCATCCTTACACTCGGAAAATTCACGTAGGTCCGTTTCTTTACACTCGGACCATACAATCAGGTCAGGCTTCTTATACTCGGACTATACACCCAGACCAGCCTCCTTATACCCATAGAATACACCTAGATATTGTAAAGTGCGGGGTTAAACGGAGTTAAAAGGAGCTATTATTTAAGAAAGCTTCATTTATTGGACCGTTGGCTGGTGATGACTGTGAACCTACATCTGTGAGCTTCATAACAAATCATCAACCTTGGTTACATAGACATATGATAGACACGTAGAACCATTACTGCTCAAACAGGTGATTGTTTCATTTCTCTTACAGGGTTGTATGCCGACTGGAAACGATCCAATTGCCACTGCCAGGCAGACGGCAACGCTTAAGAGCTCGAACATCATAGCGGACGACATCAAACTTGACACAATAAACAGCAGTTTGAAGGTAAACAGCAACATTCGGTAAAGGTTAAAGTAACTGCAGTGTTAGATTCACTGACCAAATGTAACAGTAGTGATCAAACTAGTTCACCCAATGCCTCATGTAATATAAGAAAGGTTTTCGTATAAGGAATTAGTCACGAAATACTACCGATGTGACTTTAAATTTAACTCACTCACTCACTCACTCGTGTAACGGTGCGTGATTGAAATATAGCAAACATATACTTAATCACAGAACGACATCCTAATATTCACTCCCTGTTACAGGACGGTTCAGATTTTGAAGTACGACACTATCGCCTGAAAACCGGTGTCCACAGTCCTAACGTGGGTGTCATGATTGAAGGCTTACTTCAGTGGACATCTGACCCAATTCGGCGGCGATGCACCATCATTTCCAAGTACGTGAATGAACCTTGCATTCGCTGCCACCTGTATAATTACATGTTATCTGTATACACTGGATAGCTATAGTTTGGGAAGGTTTTGGAATCGAGGATGTGGAATGCATCCCTATTGCCATACTTGCCAATGATTTTCTCATATGTTGCTTCGTGAAATCTTCACGGATAAAGTTAATGGTAAACACTGTGTGATGGTATACTGAGTCAAAAAAGAAACTTCACATTCTTTCTTCAGGGCACTATAAAAGAACAAGAGATGGTAAGATGGCTAAATTGTTATTATTTCATTGCTGAGATCTGTGTGATGTACTCGATACACTGACAGTGCGATAATCAGTTCCATTAGGCTACACCGCCGTTCCAAAACATGGGTATACAGAATGTCAAGTCACAAGAATAAACATGCGAAATTTCTCAGTTCAATATCGTGTATGGCCGCCCCACGCATTCACTACTGCCAAACACCGTCTCCTCATTGACTGCCTGATGTTTGTGAACACGTGGTTGAGGATTCTGCGCCATTGCTCTTGCAAGGCAGCGCCAAGTTCCTGCAAATTCTGAGGTTGGTTCCTAAGACCACGAAGCCTTCTCCCAAGTGCATCCCAAACGTGCTCTATTGGATTAAGGTCAGGGGACCTCGATGGCCAGTCCATGACGTTGATTCCAGCGTTTTCAAGGAAATTTCGTGTCAACATCGCGGTAAGCAGGCCGAGCATTATCACGCTGGAACTGTAGACCTGGGCCATGAGCCGCCATGAAAGGAACGAGTTCAGGGGTGAGCACCTGGTCGCGGTAAGCAGCAGCTGTGAGGTTTCCACGGATGACCAGAAGTCGGGAACGGTTGTTCCCACAGAGAGCACCCCACACCATGCAACTTCCGCACCCGAATCTGTCGACTTCCTGTACACAACATTGGGCATACCGTTTACGACGTCGTCTCTATGCCTGCCGTCCTTGAATCTGAGGGTAAACCTGGATTCATCGCTAAAGACGACTCGACTCCAGTCTCTCTGGGTCCATCGGAGGTGACGTTGGGCCCACAGCAGACGTTGACGTTGATGAAACGGCGTCAATATTGGCCCACGATATGGACGTCGAGAATGGAGATTGGCAGCCCGCAACCGATTTCGAATGGTCTGTGAGGACAGTCGACCTCTTAACATCTCAGTCCTGGTTCGTGTAGCCGGCAGAAATCTGGCACGTAGGTGACGTAGGACGATTTGACGGTCTTCTGCTCGTGACGTCACACGTGGACGACCTAACATTTGGCGATCAGAATTGGTGCCAGTTTGTTGTAGACGACCTCGCAAGTCATACACAGTACGACGGCTGCATCCCATTGCTCTTGCGACGTCAATAACTGATCTTCCCGTTTGCAACATGCCAACGGCACGTTCACGTTGCACATTTGACAATCGTGGCATTTCAAGTACCGTTAGAACTGTGGTTTAAAAGTGTTTTTTCAATTCTGGAGGCCAATGCAAACACGTGCATATGAAGAAAACTTCGATGCGAAGATCACGTGATCGACTGCACGTGCAAAACCCGATTTGGCACTAACGTCATTTGCACGACGAATGGATGGGTTTGAGTGGGTTCTGCTAACGTTTTCCTAGAGTCGAAAGATAGGGATCCCATTTCGGATACATAGATGTATCATTAGAGAAAAAGTATTCATTATTTTTCAAATTACATTTTGTGAAGTTTCTTTTTTGACTCAGTATATATTTCATTCCCTTAATATGTTGCTTGTTTCCACTCCATTGAGAACGCATGAGTTGGCAACTGTTGGCAAGTGCATATAGCAGTGTGCTATGTGGGGTGGTAACACTGCTCCTTTGTGAATATGTCTCTGCCCTTGACATCTTATCTCTGCCCTTGACATCTTATCTCTGCCCTTGACATCTTGTCTCTGCCCTTGACATCTCATGTTTTCTGTAGCTCCATGAGCGAGTCGCGTCTCCTGGTCCTACTGATGAACATCGCCAGCAGACTGCAGGACGACGGCAGAGTTGACGTCATCAGCAACATGCGACGTCTTTACCGGGAAGTAGGACAAACCTTCTTTACGGAGGTAAGATCTGGCTTATACGCAATGCAGAAAGTATGAAACTGGATATGTCAATAGAAAATTAAAACGCATTTCTGGAATATATATATTGTTCAAAGTACTGAATTTCATGTATACGTGTACAACCCGTTGGATCTCTGAAGACGGAGTCCATAATATGGTGATTATTCCTTCAGTTGTTGGCTATCTATAGCCCATTTATATACTGTATTGTCTTAATTTTGAGAGAGAGATGCTAGTTTCTTGATACTGTGATATTCTAGTTGTCTTCGTAAACATGTATTAAAAACTTGTTTTAGTCACGATATGGCTGAAATATTGCCGATGTGACTCTAAACTTCAGCTCACTCACTCACATTGAAGATGGAATACTAGAACCTACGAGATTAAGAAACGTGGTTCTTTAAACATCATAACTTTGGTGTAAAACCTTTAATAATAACGTTCAGTGTACAACATGCATTACGTTGGTCTCATTGTAGTCTTACAGATATACTATTCTAAGCAGCCTTAATGCAAAAGCTTGGTCAATCATAATATGAACTGAAACGAGCATTGCATTTTTAACTAGTTTGTGAATGGTATCAATGATAGGTTTTCACTGTCTTCCAATTGTTTTCTAGGCCGACGTCAAATGTGCTCTGAAATTCGCCCAACTTCAGATTGAGAACCTTGGAATATACGCCAATCTCTAGCCTAATGAAACTGCCACACGGGTAGATCCAGAATATCAGCTGCTTCTGCTATATTGCGGTTCAGTATTAATACTTATACAGTTAATCTTACCTTGCATGTAGTTGTTTTGGTCAATCACTTTTTCATCAGTATACAACCGAAAATATGCTGTCATGACACGATATGTTTTTATAACGTGCATTGAAAAACGAACTTTTGATTGGTTAAGGAACGGGCAAATATTTTCAATGTGGCCCGCATGTCAAGCCTGTTCATGTAAAGGGAAATAACTCAGTCCATTTAGTTGTTCGCTTCGAGATTTCCTGTTCAGTGAAACATATATTCTGAATGAATGGAGAAATGAGTGTCCGTGAGATATAGTCGTTGTTGACAGATACTGTACGTATATGGAGTGGTGGACCTTGTGTGTGAATCTGTATACAACCTATAGACCCACAGATCCGGGTTCGAATTGGTCTTTAGCAACCCTTGCTTGCTGTAAGAGGAAACTAACGGGATTATGTGGTTGACCCATGTCATCGGTTCCCAATTGGGTAGATCGATGTTCATGCTGTTGGTCACGGGATTTGGTGGTCGGACTCGCTGACCCATTTGGGTGGATCGATGCTGCTTGGTCACTGGATTGTCTGGTCCAGACTCAATTATTTACAGCCCGCCGTAATATAGCTGGAATATTGCTGAGTGCGGCGTTAAACAACAAACAAACAAACCATACATGGAGCCCCACAGACACGGTACATATCATCATATGGCTCCTACAACTTACAATTCCGTGATTCGATCCCATCTAGTGTATATGAGGTAAGATTTCCATTGTGATAGTCAAACATGCTATAAAATATACATTGTGGATACTATCAGGTTTTATTGATGACGTATACAGTGAGTGAGTGAGTTTAGTTTTACACCGACCTTAGCAATATTCCAGCTGTATGGCGGCGGTCTGTAAATATTCGGGACCATACAATCCAGTGATCAACAGCACGAGCATCGATCTATGCAATTGGGATACGATGACATGTGTCAACCAAGTCAGCGAGCCTGACCACCCAACCCTGTTACTCGCCTCCTACCAGCAAGGGTTGCTGAAGACCAATTCTAACCCAGGTGTATGATAATGAGAGAATCTGTGAATCAACTTACAACTATGGAGAAATTATTTTGCTTGATGGCAATAGTGAATAATTGTTTATATGTATTTGAATGAAATGTATGCATTGTAAATATTGATTAGTATAAAATGACAAATAAAAACAAATGAGCACCAGTATATATGTGTGGGCGTATTTGTATATTGTAAATCGACGTGTATATACGTGGTGGACATAGAGCCTGCATTTGAATATGTTTTCTGTGTTCTTTTTTCTACAGTTGTTCTAGAGTTTATTAATTGATCCCGATTACATTTACATTGTATTTGGAGCTTTATTTCTACAACTGATATTGAGTGAGTGTAGAATGAAATGTTATGTACAGTTGTCTTGGAGTTTAATAACTGAAGTCGGCCCACGATATTATTCATGTTGTGTTTCAATGCAATGATTGAAAAGGGGTGTGAGTGAGTGAGTGAAGGTGGGTTTGTGAGTGAGTAAGTGATTGTGTGTGTGCGTAAGTGGGTAGGTGGGGGTTGTGAGTGAGTGAGTGAGTAAGTGATTGTGTGTGTGCGTGAGTGGGTGGGTGGGGGTGGGTGGGGTGAGTGAGAGAATGATTAAGAGAGTGAGTGAGTGAGTTTAATGTCTTGATCAAGTCCTCAAGTTATACGGTAACTGAACTAATTGATATACCTCCCGCATTACATGCACGTTGTATTCAAAAGCATTGTTTGCATCAACGATTTATAGTTGTAGTATGAATGAGTGAGTATTATTTTAAGCTGTTTTTACTAATGTTCCTAGAAGATTAATATATTGTAGTGTTAACATGTGTATCTTGAAGATGATATGTGTATGTTGTGCATACTGAGCCTGTAATGTGTTTGTGGAGAAGATGGAGAAATGACAGCTACAGACATGTGATTGAGTGGGCTAATATATAAAGTATCTGATCGATAACATATTGATATTTAGAACACAAAGACGTTCTGGTTTAGAAGTTTCAAATTATGTGAATATGCCTGAAAAGTAGTAACTGGCAGATCAACATGAATGAATTTAATCTCCATCCTACATGTACCTACCTTACCACTTCTCTCTCTTTCTTTATGTACAAGGAAATAAGAGATTTCTTCAGGGAGTAAATCTGTGTATTTATTCAGGATCTGTGATATTTCAAAATTCAGAATTTACTGCCTGAAGAAATTAATGAAACATGTAGGAGTGAAAGTGGCTGTCTGTTTTTTTCAGTCTAATAAATTAAATCTAACTGGATACTTGTGAACTATAAAAATCTTTACATACATATATATGCATGCATGCGTGTGTGTGCGTGCGTGTATATTCATTTGTTTTCTTCTGTTAGTAGATCTAGAGTGCCACGCTTAAACTGTTATTAGATCTCTCATCTCTATATGTATGTATAAATAAATAATAATAAATATAAATGATGAATAAAAATGTGTTTTGCATTCCTGTTGGCTTTACCTCATTTATGTACACACAAGGCAAAAAGTATCGAAACAGCCCATATCTTTTATAGTACGAATATATTAACGTATATAGCAAAGAAACTTATTGAAACCTCAATTTAGCTTACTATCTGATTAAATGAACAATTAAAACTTGCATCGATGTTAACTATGGTCGTATGAATAAAGGTTCGGTCATGGTCAAGATTCTCTGATACAATCCTCAAGAAATAACACACATGTACTCAATCATACCTGGTGTCATCAGTCGTCCATTTGAAATTATTTTCAAGGGTATTTTGCACTTTACCCTAGATAGTAGGGTAAACGGCAAATGTCACTAATGTCACTTTTTAACATTGAGTGTCTAAACTTGCAAATAGCTGAAAATATGCAGGAAGCAAATCTACTTTAAGTCCCATGGTCCCTTATATGGTGATCTGCCTTCACTTATTGACAAGCTGTCAGTGGCTGTACCCTCACGGTTGGTTGAGATATTGTAAAATTTTTGTCCTCCTGTGGATGTACGTAAGTCTCAAAATATTCAAGGTAAATTAATCGTACACAATTTTTAAAACGCAGTATTTTTGTGTTTTTAAGTTATGGCTAAATTTAACTACAATCACCAGCGGCTTAGGGGATGATATAAATCCGTCTAGGGTCCATGTAGGTAGCCAAAGTACTATAAGTTCCGATGGTCTCTAGTATGGTGATCTACCTTCAGTTGCTGGTGAAGATGTATAGCCCGTATTTATAGTGTATTGTCTTGCATTATAGTATACGTTTTTAGTTCCATGCTAGTTTTATATCTCTGTCTGCGATACACTAGTAGTTTTACTGTTCATCATAACCCCTTTTATAGCGTCTTATATTATTGATCTTTACCGATAATTAATTGTTCTCATCACGATATGGGTGAAATATTGCGGATGTGAGGCCAAATATTAACTCACTCACTATTGACTAGGCATAGCTTGTCTTTACATTTTTAGATTTACATACCACTTTTATATTCATATCTGTGATTTTCTTGTTGTTTTACTGTCCTTCGTTAGCAGTTTTTTTAATATAACTTAGCTGTATGTCTTATGATTTTATAAATCGTTTTTGTCACGTTATGGCTGAAATACTGCCTATGAGACTTAAAATCTTAACTCACCCACGCTTTAAACAGTATCTATATTTTCCTTGCTATTATTTTCTACGGGTTTGTCGACTTACACTGCGTTGTAGTTTTGGTCGCGAAATTGCCATTTTGAGCAGTGACATATGGTATTTTACGACAATTAAGTAGTCATATAGTTAGTCTCATAATACTTTACAATATATATAGTCTTGGACGGATACAAACGATAGCATCTTCCTGGTTTGAATCAAAAACAATGGAGTGACACGAGAGATCGTTCATGATCAGATATATATATATATCACAACACAAAGCCTATCTGTCAAGTGTACACTCAGCATCCTGGTCTAATAAAAACTCTTGGGCATTTGATGTAGCATCCCTTCCTGGTCGACATAACGTGAACTAGTGAAATGGAGAAGTATTATGTGGAGGGGAAGCCTAATGAGAGAGACCGGCTGATGAGACTGTCAGCTTCATATTGTGTGAATGAAAAGGGAAGCGCGCAGTTGCTACTTCGAGTTTGTGTTGATCCACGACTAGTGTTTCCCCAAGGCATTTCTACCAGAGTGCTCTGCCCTTTTTATTAGGCGCCCCGCCCGTCGTTGTAATACATTAATTGATTTTAACACTTGGCGATTTTACTTTCTATTTCGTGTTCAAGTTAAATGAAATAAGAGTTCTGTTTACACAAACGTGTAATCCAAGCCCATGCTCATCTAAAGACAACTTACGTAATGTATTTTACAAATATTCATCTTCACTGGCGGGTTTACATTCACTACATGCATTGTTCGACTGTTCAACATCTACAATTCTCTAAATCAAGGCCTGTGAAGATCTGGGTTAGAATTGGTCTTCAGTAAACCATACTTGTCTTAATAGGCGACTAACGGGATCGGATGGTCAGGCTCGCTGACTTGGTTGTCACATGACATCGTAATCCATTTGCGTAGACTGATGCTCATACTGGTGATCACTGGGTTGTCTGGTCCAGCCTCGATTACTTACAGACCGCCATCATATATTGCTGGAATACAGTTGAGTGCGGCTTTAAACGACAAACCAGCCACCCAACCCTAAATCAAGCATTTTCATCATAATATATACTGATCCGCTTTTCTTGTAATGAAACCTTCCCCTGCCTACTTCAGTCACTCTCCAATATTTAGATACCTATGGGACTGAAATATGTAGTAAGTGAGTGAGTGAGAACGTTGTACATATATAAATGAATAAAAGGAAAGTTAGCAAATATACTTACCTGTCTGCAAAGGACAGTAAAACCACTAGATTATCACAGAAATACATTTAAAACTAGTAATGAAATCTAAAATACTTTAACTATAAATGACAAGACAGTATAAAAACAGGCTATAGATCGCCAACAACTGAAAGTAGATCACCACACTAGGGACCATGGGCACTTACAGTACATTTGCTTCCTGCATGGACCCTAGCTGGATTTACACCATTTCAGCTATTGGCAATTTTAGATAATCTAGCCATAAATTAAAATAACCTATATGCTACGATTAAAGATAGTGGTAGGTTTAAATTTACTTTGAACTATTTTGGGACTTACGTACCCTCTCAGGAGGGCAATAACTTTACAATACTTCAAACCCCTTTGAGGGTACAGCCACCAATAATCTCAGTTACAAATCCAAACTACCAATAATATTTTTCTTTTAATTTACAAACTATTCATCAAAATGTATCTAATAATTCTATTTCTTTTACAAATTCAATCATTAAATGAAAATTAACAGTACTAATAGATCCTTTACAGATTTTACATTGAAATGCTTATCCCTTGTGATGGAAAAATCAATACAGTCACGCAGGACATGCTTGACCGTCATTCTTTCATCACAAGTAATGCAAAACGGATGATCTTCGCCTTTTCACAAATATTCATATATCTTGTATGGCCAATGAGGGCGGTGGGGTAGCCTAGTGGTTAAAGCGGTTGGTTCGTCACGCCTAAGGCCCGGGTTCGAATCCCCACATGGGCACAATGTGTTAAGCCCATTTCTGGTGTCCCCCGCCGTGATATTGCTGGAATATTGCTAAAAGCGGCGTAAAACTAAACTCAGTCAGTGTATGGCCAATGTGACATCGTCGCATGATGACCTCTTTAAATCTGGACTGACATCCCAAGTAGGTGTAACCAATATATGGTTTTATTTCATGTAATTTGTTAACACTACCTGACACTTTGAAAGAAAATGCCTGGCACACTTTGAAAAAAAGCCCAACCACTAACGTAACTTCAGTGTTATTTGGTCGGTGTGGCGTCATTGATAAAGTACTTGTGTCGTATGTCTGAATGCATATATGTACATCCTGGTCAGTGCTTGAGATTGTTCTTGTTTCAGTTGCACATGGCAGCATGTCGCCCATGTTGCTGTGCCTTCTGTTTGCTGTAACATCAAGTGTCCTTCTCATTGCTGGTAAGTTTATTTTATCAAAACTTTATCGAGCAATCTGAATTGTCTCCATGGTAGCACTTGGTAAGAAGGAATGTAAGATGTGTACTATAGACAAGTTCCCATAGTAATAGTCATGGATATAATGTGATGGGAACATGTGTAGCATGTACCAAAATGCTCTGAAAATGCTGCCACAATGGCAACAAGGTATTTCTACATTTGACGTCGGGTGCAGTCTTCAAGACTGGGGTGCAGTTATTGATGGACCTTGAATCATATTGGTCAAGTGCGGGTTCACTTTGGTCTTGGTTACGTTTTCTGAATAAGAGGCTGTTCTTCATGGAGCGTGCTCAATAACGTACTCTGTCAGAAACATCGTTTGCAATAGTACAATATATAGTTCATCATGTTTTAGCATTTCTAAAGTCTCCAACTTTCTTTGATGTCATTACATTTTACCTTGATACATTCCAATATGGTAGCATCAATTGTGATGTTTTAGTTTTACTTGATTCCAAATTCAGAAGAAAACAGATTGATAGTTTCCATATTTCTGTTAAAAAAACCTCCCCAACACTCATGATGAATCGTTAGGACTGGTGTAAACATAGGTATCTTCAGTATGTAAACTGGCACATTTGATCTCTGACACAGAGACAACGAGCACAAGTTTTTATATTAACCAACGGACTGGATCTTTTGCATAATACTCACACCGAGCAAAATAAATTTAAGTTACTTTTTCACCAGGGATTGGAACCATTGCTATTTCCCAAGGCGCTTTTTTTCATCACTGTCACATCTGTTGGGTGTCTGCACTTTATATCCAATCAAATATGTCCTGGCTACTTAACTCTAGAAACCTATCATCCACTATGATCACATATGACCACGTCTATAAATTATGCGCCTCAGTGCAATCTGTGATTTACGAAAAAAGGTCAGTTTATCTTTTGACAAAACTTTTTATGGAAACTGTGTATTACAGCCTACACATGGTTTTTAATGCCACAGCCATTCTATTTAAGTCACACACTGGTCACATGCATGGCCATTACAATACGATAGCCATTTTGTAGACACGTGTATCTTCTATTGAGGATAACCAGCACACAATAAAGTACAGATTCTAGTGCTTTTGGCTTTCGAGTCCCATCCGGGATTCGTGTCTAAATACACAATGACATATAGACAGTGGTCAGATATATTCTGTTGTATTCTTGTAGTTGGTTGACTGCAGTTGATTAGGTTTCAGATCAATGTTAATCTCTGCACTTAAATTACAATGACACAATAGAACTGAATGGCAGAACAGTTGGAACGGCAATGTGATATACAATCAGTAACTGTAGCAAATAAAGCACTGACGATAGGATGCAGTACTGATTAAGCTTCCAACATGTCTAGGCTAGGAATCCTGGCTGAAAAGTGAGCTTCAAACAAATACTGGTCTTATGTGACATTCAAAGTGAAATGACTTGACATGAAGTTTCTCTTCTGGTATATTCTGTAACATGCTGAGTAAGATTATGCCGCATTTTTCGACTGCTCTTGAATATTCCTGGCCCCTGTTTACCCCCAGTTTTAATCTAGCAACTATCAACCTTTTTCTCAATCTTAAGTGAAACTAAGTAATACAATTGTCACAGAGATCCCAAACACTGAATAACTGTTTCAGGTAAACGGTCAAACGTTGCACTGAATAAAACAGCATGGATGAGCACAACTATGGAACACTCATTGGCTGCCAGTAAAGCTGTAGATGGTGTAACAGACGCAGACACGTATCAGTCCTCGGCCCACACAAAGGAACATGAACGCAGGGCTTGGTGGAAAGTGGATCTGGAGAGGGAAGTTCAATCGCCATTGGTCAAACTCTATTTTAGGACAGACTGCAAGTATTGTCCTATATAATCCAAATCAACAATGGTAATGTTCACCGACTCATTTTGAAGTTAAAATATCCAGACTTCGAACGTGATACGCTGACAATAACTTCTCACTGGACGCATCGTTGTTGTTGGTGAGACCGGGATTGGACTCAACATCTTACTTTCTGAGAAAGGAACAAGTGGACTTGTAACTTATAGACTTTGTAGACTGAAACATGAACGGAATAAGACTATTACCTAATTTACTGCAAGAGGAAGCTAAATTGTAAAAAAAACACAAAGCTGGACATGACATGCACATATAGTATTAGTTCCACCAATTTGTATGTGAGGTATGAGATGATTTCAGGAAACAACAGCAAAATCTCAAGCAACTGCAAACAAATGTCCCTTGTAGAATCAGGTCACTATGAAACAGTAATTGACAGAAATAAAATGCATAAGTGTTTTTCAAAGTGTTATGGCAAGTGCTACGTACTCTGATAAAATACCCCTGAAGATCCGGATTAGAATTGGTCTTAAGCAACAAATGCTTGTCTCAAGAGACGACTAATGGGATCGGATGATCAGTTTCACTGACTTGGTTGACATATGTCATCGCATCCCAATTGCGTAGATCGATGCTAATAATGTTGATCACTGGATTGCTTAGTCCAAACGCAATTATTTACAGACAACCGCCGTATAGCTTGAATATTGCTGAGTGCGGCGTTAAACAACAAAATACTCGTACAAATCTGTTATTCCCTCCAATGGAATAAATATAGTGTACATTACTACTTCCTCCTATAATTTCAGTTTAGATTGTAATACAATAACGAAAAAAGATGTTACGTGTCGATTTCCAAATGTGAAGAATCAGATTAACCCATACAAAAAGAATTCAGCGTGAAATGTTAGGCAAATGAATTTGAATTATGTAATTAAGTAGTTTCAAAATCAATGCAAATTACTAAGAAATGCTTAAAATATTGTCGCAATGTGCAATCCCATGGCAGTACAATTACAGTATGAACAGTGTAGAATATAATAGCATCTAAGTCAGTGATAAATATAGTTACATGGGTGAAAGTGAACATGCTTCGGAAAAAAGACTTTGGCTGGAAGATACGACCATCACACAACCCCTTCTCTTGGTGTAACCCCACCCCCACCCAAATCTCATACATCCCCCAACTAGTGTATTATACATTGATTAATAACATTAAGTGGAGAAAGGTCTTTTTCGGTCATCAGCTGACAATTCGAAGGAGAGAATACGGACGCTCACATGTGTATTTGGTAAACTCGTTTGAAGATTCATGGACGTGTTCTGAGATTGAGATAGTTGTGATTATCTTGATCACTAAGTTCTTCTACTTGTGGAAACAATCAACTGCAGAATTACATTTAAAGGTTTTGACACTCACGTCTTGAATAAGAAATATTTGCATGCTCCCACCCGGTGATGACAAGTGGACATATATACTCAAGCAATGTGCCCCGCATGTTTCAGTAGTTTCGTCTCATAACGAAAGCAATGAATTACCAGTGACCAATGAAGCCATCTAAGTAAACGTCCTCCTGGATGCTGTCAATAATTCCGTTTTGCTTAGCAGTACCACGTGTCTTGCCAGTGTTCAAATTCTTAAAGCATCTTGAAATTGACGTGGTAAGTGTTACGTGTAGATAACCAATTTAGATTAAAAAGTTAGCCAGGAATCAATTAGTAAACGAACCAGGTGTGAACCAACAAATAACTATGCATGTGTTGTAATTATCTGCATATTATGATTATTCTGGAATTAATTAAGTTCGCAAATCAGTGTAAATCAATGCAAAATTATGTAGAAATACGGTGGAAGTACAAAGTCCAAGGCAATATAATACCAGAGCAGTGACTATGGTAATAAAGACAATGACGGTAATATTCACCTCTCAGTAGTAGTAATCCAACTTGCAACTTGAAGAAAGAATTAATCAGGGTAGAGAATGATCACACAAAATGCAATGCTGGTCTGCTTGTTGCTCTAGATGTAATGTGAGATCAGAACCAAAAACTCGCTCCTTTTATATACCCGAGAGAAAGTCTAGATGATTCCACAATATTTTCGAAAGCAGATGATTCTAGAACTAAGTCTTTTCCCCCATATCCAGATCATTCTGTCTGAATCTAGTCTGGATATAACACTCCACTGTCCCCTAAATCTACAGGTATTTACTTTTGTGCGAAGTAATCTGGTACTTTACTTGCAGCGCCATGAGCATACCAGCTGACATGGAGTTTTGCGCGTTACAAATTCACTTATTATTATTAATGTTACATTTTGTCAAACCTTATTATACGGGACGTTCCACAGCTTGAATCTACATGTAAAGAGTAAAAAGATGTTTGATTTCTCCATACTCATCAGAAACTGGTACCAGGAATACGTAAGTAAGCTGGGAGTAACTCAATGCTTGACAGACTGATACATCCTATATGAAGTAAAGTATGTGCCGGTATAGTAAAGTATACTAAATCTGTTTCAGACAAGTATAGGCGTAATGGAGTTCAGCTCTACACGTCTTTGAGAAAGCCAGCTGATCCTAAAGAAGGAAAGCTCTGTCAAACTGTAGGAGGGAGTCCTTATGGTACAGATATTCCTGACATTCTGAATACGACCTGTTCTGGAACATGGCGCTTCCTGACTGTCTACACAGAGACAAGTAATGATAGGCAGGGTGCTGTCTTGGACTTTGTCGAAGTTGAAGTGTGGAGTAAGTGTTTTTATGAGAAACTAGTTAGATAACAAAAATCATTCATACCAATCAAACTATAAGTAATCTTAATTTGTTGGTTACTCACTGTTACTCATATTCATGTTTTTGAGTTAATATTACATTTCTTCAATGCATAAGCTAGACATTAATTATGTGTGAATTATAAAATAGTTTTTTTTATGAATATCCCCCAAACCAAAGAGTATATTAAAGTTTAAGTATACCCAGAAAGAAAAAGCAAGTCATCTATTTGACGGACATACTTAAGTACTGTTGTTTCGATTGTTTATGTTTAAAAAGGTTGCAATCTTACCACAACGGAACCCTTGTTGCGACGTTGCTAACACATGTGTGCGTATATTTGTGAAAGCATATACAAAGTGTAATTGTTTCAGTATCGTTAATTTGAATGGTCTAAAATATATAAACATAATTATTTTAGCATAATTTTTATTCGTATGAGTCAGTGATCAACGCCATCAATCTACGTCAAAATTATCTCACATAAATGCAAACAATGAAAGCAAAAGAAAAAGACGTATCCTAACAGATTCTTTTTTCGTAAAGGGACACATAGTTTAAGACAAAATATTATGGATGTCAACTTCTTCTCTATTGTGTAAACAACGTTTCTGGTCTATTCTTTGCCCCTTCGTCAGGTGAATGCTAAGTAACAGATATACAGGATATATATACTAGTAATGTACATGAAGCCTTTATTTTAGCATCATTTTTATTCGTAGGAGTCAATGATCAACCAAAACTAGGAGTATCTACGCCAACATTATCTCCAATAAATGCAAACATTGAAATCAAAAGAAAAAACCCGTCTCCTAACAGATTTTGTTTTCGTAAAGGGCCACATAGCTGTGAAAATCAGGGTGTTTAAGAGTCGTTAGCATGCCCTGCCAAAGCGGTACCTATCTTGTTTGGTGTATGGTTGTATAATTTGTCAAGTTGAGCTATAACGAGATGAATATATCCCGTTAGCGCATTGTCCAAAGAAACATAACGGCAATGGTATCACTGGAATTAACATTATGTTCACATACTAGAATCATCCGAGGTGAGACAATGTTTTTCTCTGTGGAAATTCCTTGCGGCGTGACAATGCAAATCGTAGCGTAAACATGTAACATTTCTACTACAGCATGTACAGCTGAGACCTACGGAGATAACTGCAACAAATCCTGTGCCACTCGTCACTGCAAGACATCAAGTGGCACATGTAATCCTGTGACAGGGAGTTGTCCCGAAGGCTGTGCAAGCGGCTGGAAGGGGGGTGATTGTGTACTTGGTAAGATGCACTTGTAAATACAAAAACCTGACGAAGATGTAGTTTGGACAACCGTCTCTAATTCATAGCATATGCTACATAGCTGCAAATGATATGTTGATAAAGGATCTCACGATAGTGCTCATGACAAGCTATTCACAGCATACAGGATATAAAACAAGGCATGTGTTTTTTTCAAGCCTGCACAAATGGGACCTACGGAGACAGCTGCAACAAGTCATGTGACGGTCGCCACTGCAAGACACCAAATGGCAAATGTTATCATGTGACCGGGAAGTGTTCCGGAGGCTGTGAAAGTGGCTGGAATGGGACTGACTGTTTTCAGGGTGAGATAGTTTCGGAGAATTACTGAAGTTTATAGGGTTGTTTGAACAATATTTCTTTACTTGTAATCTGTATTGGGCTATTCACTGTTTGATGCTTTACGTAGGGACCGAGATACGGATACTCCAGTCATTGCAATTTGTGTCCTAGAGTCACGTCCTATAGATACAGCAGAAAGGGATGGTCGTGGGTTCGAAGAGGGGCGGTTGAGTAGCCTAGTGGTTAAGGCGTTCGCTCGTCACGCCGAATACCCGGGTTCGATTCCCCACATTGGTACAATGTGTGAAGCCCATTTCTGGTGTCCCCCGCAGTGATCTTGCCGGAATATTGGTAAAAGCGGTGTAAAAGTAAACTGACTCACTCACTCATGGGTTCGAATCCTAGTTTGACATGAATATGTGTCGGAGTTCCTGCACCAAAGTTGTCAATGTCTGAGACCTGCATCATTGATGTCTTCCCTTTCACATCAACCACGTCATGGCATTACTCGACCACTGTTCAAATTGGCGATTGACCCATTTAATTACAAATGGATCATTTGAGTTTGCTTGCTGATGCAGATAACCACAGTAAACCACACAATGCAATGTATACTTTTGATTTAAGCCTGTAACCCCGGAAACTACAGAGACGACTGCAACAAAGAATGTGCAGTTCGTCACTGCAAGACACTAAATGACACATGTGATCGCGTGACAGGGAATTGCCTCGATGGCTGTACAAGAGGCTGGACTGGAAATGATTGTTTAGAAGGTAAATTTGGACATCCTCTTTGGAGTTAAGGACATTTAATCAAATATGATTAACTGTGAAGTTTCAACAGCACACGTTTAATTCTGATATTGCCTCTGTACACTATACACAGAAGCAGTTGCATTGCTGGTCATTTGAATGTCATGTAAGTGCATATGGTTATAGTAAACGGCAGGATGCAATGCAGCCTGTTTCTTCCAGACTGTGCAAATGGAACTTACGGAGAAGTCTGCCAAAAGTCATGTGCCTCTCGCCACTGCAGGATACCAGATGACACATGTGATCATGTGACTGGGAATTGTTCCGAAGGCTGTAAAGGTGGCTGGAACGGGGATGACTGTTCACGTGGTAAGATTTTGTAGCAAACACTATTTCAGTTCTTCATGTACCTTGTGTCATATGTTCTCGGAAACGACGTAACAGATATGTTTTAAATTGTAACTGAAGAAATTGAATGAAAGGGAAGACATTGCAATTGCCACATTTTACGTTCTGTAAAATGCAACACCAGTAAAATGCTTTTGTGGAGGTTATTACGTAATCATTACTTTATGAGGGATGGTCCTTATTAGTCCTTTGGCAAATGGGGTCCACACATGTTATCCGTCTTGGATTCAGCACCGGGTGTTTGGTATTGCCTTTGCCCTTTTTTTGTGTCCACTGTAGATGACACGTAGACTTTACTACAATAATGTAAACCTAATTTTCTGTCTGGTTCAGTTTTCAAATAGAACAATATTTTCACAGAAGACACCGCGTCGGGAAGTACTTCTACACCCGGATCTCTCATGATCATTATTGTTGCAAGCACAGCCTGCCTTCTAGTGGCTGTTATCGTTTTCATCATCGTGCTTGTATGCAGAAGGTAAGGTACACAGAATGCCTATTTCTCTCTTCACCATCATCAACTTACACTCTCAGGTCTAACACGTACTTAGACTTAACTAGAAATCCGACACCGTGTGTCTTCCGTGACCGGGGAAACTAGTGTTACTTGAATTTATATTACCTCACACATAAATGTGCTTTTCTGATTGGTTGAGCGCTCTTGTTATTTTCAATGTACCCCGCTTACAAGCGAGTAGCATTTTCTACCCGCTGGGAATGCCGAAATGTGGGAATTTATTTGGTACTTCGCGTTAGTAATTCTTTATCTCGAATAATTGAGTGACGTATGATGTACGGAAATTATATTTATCGATGCTTTGCGCATGCAAATCGATTGAAGGGAGATAACTCTAAACTGTCTTTTCTTGTGGTCTGTTGTTGTCGGTATTGGCTAATTGGCTTACTCTGGTACTCCTTATTTTGATCCGATACCCGTGCTTCAAACAGTTCAAAACATGTGACACTGGTCCCTTCGGGCTCAGGTGACATGAACAAACATAGAGCGTACATGAACCTATGCCCCCCTCGTAACCATGGCCAGTGAACAACTTTGAATATAAATTATACAATGATGATACGATTAGCGGGATTTTATTACCTGTTTTAATCAAATGTTTTATTGTATATAGGTATAATTACAATATTAACTGATGGCATTACTGAACATTGGTGAACGTGATTCTGCATGATTAGTCAGGGGTAAATTCGTAACCAATAGCATAAATGGGGGGAAATGAAATAAATGTTTTCACAAAAATTGTATTGAATGTCATATTTCGTTCCCACAGAACCCAGGGTTTGTTTTTCATACATTGACCACACCTAGACACGAAAGTCCTATTAAAAACTGAAATATTACAATACAATATTGAAAAGTAAACGGATAATTATTGGCAAAAAAGTATTTAAATCTCTGCATTGCTGATAATATACTGACCAGCAAAAGAAACGCAATTCAAGACATCAAAACAATTGTGTTAAAGTAAAAAATCCAACCTCATGCTGAAAGTGTATAATTTTCACGAATTCTGAGTTGCGTTGTTATTGCTAGTCAGTATATGTTGTCACCAAGGCATGGCATTTGTGTACCTGCTCAGACAAAGGAAACCGTCTAAGTGATGTGAACGTGCGTTTTAGACGCGAAAACGTTGGTATCAAATGCCAAAGTAATGAAAATTTCAAACTGCCCAGAATTGTAAAGCTACAGGGCTTGAGAGCTGGCGACTGAGCCAATACGTAAATGTAAACATCAGTTTGTCATCAGCATATTCGACCGGGCTAAGCAATGACAATCTATGTAATGGAAATCTATCTATTGCACAGAAACTCAATTCATCCACTGGACAATGAGAGTGCCATACAACTTGATGAACATCAACCTCCAGTTGTACCAGGTAAAATCAGGATCAGGATCACCAAAATCAGGCATTTAGCATTCATTTAGTTTCTTGTTTTATTGAATTTGACCGTATGTTGCATGACCTCGACAAGTTAAAACAGGAGAAATATGTAATTGAAAACCGACTGACGCAGACAAGAATAAATTCTAATGAACCTACACTTAACATTAAACATTTAAGGCATTCCTGCTGAGGTAGAGGACTGCGCGGGCCCAGAGGATGGAGCAGTCCCAGACAATGTTTATTGTAACGAAGTCACCAGGAACGTCCCTGTGCAGGCGCTGGAAGCAACGATAGCTGGAATCGAACAAAAGAAGGACGGCTTCCGAAAGGAGTATGGTGTAAGTTTCTGTACTTGATTGTTCTGATCGACATATTGTTCGTTTCAAAGAAGTATGCCACGGGTTAAATATCTGTGTATCAAGCAGTTCAGCGCACATCGAACATGACACCATGACCTCATGAATGTGGAGTATTTACATCTGCAACTTATACTTATACTTTCTTCTAGAAACTACTCGACCCATGAAGTTCTGGGTTAGAATTGGTCTTCAACAACCCATGCTTGTCGTAAGAGGCGACTGACGGGATTGGGTGGTCATGCCCGCTGACTTGGCTGACACATGTCATCGTATCCCAATTGCTTAGATCGATGCTCATGCTGTTGATCACTGGATTGTCTGGTCTTGGCCAGATTATTTACAGACAACCGCCATATTGCTGCGTTAAACAACCAAACCAAACCAAACTGTTCAAACCTAGCCTTGAAATGATATCCCTATTGACACTATTATTAAGTAGTGACCTATGCCCTCCACAGATGCTGCCTACAGAATTCACAGCACCTTATGAAGACTCCCAGAAACCAGAGAACGCTGGCAAAAACAAGTTCAGAGAATACTTCCCATGTGCAGTTTAGAATTATTCTATGTGTATATTATGTTCTGGCAATGGTTCGATTAGACATTTTTTGTTTCTCCCTTCTTGTTCCAGATGACTACAACCGTATCCGCTTGACTCGCCTCCCAAACATCCCCGGATCTGACTATATCAACGCCAGTCTGATGCATGTAGGATTATTTTATGCAAAACGTCCTGACGTATTATCTGATCGTTCCTCTGTTTTGTATCATGCAGTAATCTGTCTTAAGTTCTGCACACCAGTGAAGATCTGGGTCAGCAACTAATACTTGTAGGAAGTGACTAAGGTGATCGAGTGATCTGGCTCGCTGACTTGGCTGACACATGTCATCAGATCCAAATTGCGTAGATCGTTGCTCATGAAGTTGATCACTGAATTGTTAGTCCAGATTTGATTATTTACAAACCGCAGCCATAATGTTAGAATGAAAAAAACAACAAAACAACCAGTTTGAAACAATCTGAAGTGCTGCACAATCTCAGTTTCCTCTTCTGTTCCAGAGTTTTAATCAAAGGAGAAACTACATCGCCGCTCAAGGTATGTTGTATACGATCGTAGGTTAGCGGCTAGTATAAGTTTGATTAAACATTTGACGTGTTTTTTTCAATGTTCAAGGTCATGCTTAAAATCAATAAATCAATACGCAGTAAAGATCTACTTTACTTGTTACTTTGGACAATTGATATTAGAATGTGATTAGAGCTAGCAGAACATATATGGTTAAAACCCAACATAAAGTTAAAACTTAGCTTTAAGGGTGATGGCAATGTTGTTACAATGAAATGATTTTTCAAAATAATTGTTTCAAAACAACGCCATCCGTTTTATGTAGTACAATTTAAATTTGTCTCTGGAGGTAGCTAGTTGAATTCAAAGTGTCTCGTTAATGTTTCTTTTGCAAGCGCCGCCACTGTAGATAATCCCTCCTTTCAGAGATTGATGTTGATGTGTAAATACCGTTGATATAGAAACGTGACAATTGTAGCCCCCACTAAGAAGACCGTGGGGAGACTTCTGGAGAATGATCTGGGAACGTTCCTGCAGCCGGATTGTCATGGTGACTGGTCTCGTAGAAGGATGTAAGGTATATACAAGCACGCCTGATTTAGAACTATGATACACAAGAATTTGAATTTCGGAAGATAGATTTTGTTCCGAACATACTTTAAATAAGTAAACTTACTTGAGACTGGACATTCTGGGGAACCGGAAAAATACACTTTTTTTGGTTAGAATGTGTTAGGTATTGTCAGCATAAATTTCAGGTGACATGTGAACAGTACTGGCCGTCACGGGGCATCCTGAACACAGGTCTCTTCCAGGTGGAACTTGGAGCCATACAAACCCGAGCACACTTTACAGTGAGACATCTGAAGGTCACGTCTTGTACAGTAAGTATCGGCATGACGTCATTGATTATTTAGTCATATTTTATTTGACTTTAAAGAAATATAAAGTGAAAAACCGCTTTCCATGGCTGTAAGAAATTTATAAGTATACAATCCAAATTTTTCATGAACAAGTATTTGTGAATCACTATCGTGTACGTATTCTCGAAAAGATGACAAACAATTTCAAAGGATGTCAAGTGTTCATCTGAAAAAACAATGGAAACATAAAGTAAACGTGAAAGGTAGGAAACTTCATTGAACATCACTTTTGTCACTGATGCGTCAGATTTGGGAATGTGTCTCCCATATCCCTACAATAAAATGTTTGAAAGTTTAACTGAGATTTATCGTGATCACACATCTTTTGAGCAAGACTCGTTCGAAGCTGATTGAAATCTTCGTAGAAAGAGCATACTGCATAGTACCTTGAAACCTTCAAAATGTAAACACCAGTATGTCTAAGTGAGGTGTAACAATCGCAAACAGGATACTTTTTTCATGTATAGACAATTAAAATATCATTTGTAAGTTCTCAAACTGAAGAATTCGTGGAGAGTCCAAACATGTAGGGGATATATATACCAGTTGTCTGAACTTGCCTGTATAACCATGCTGCCATAGCCCTGGCTGGTAATCAAATGAATACGTTAAGAAGTAGGAATTACCTCAAGAAACGTCAGATTTAAATGTCCCAAGTGAAGTGAAAATTAAGCTCAGTGTATAAGATTAAAGTTGATTGGCTATATGAAGAACACTACTTTGGAAGCATATGAGAGTTGTTATATAAACAAACAAACGCGTGAATTTGAATGAATGTGCAATTAGCGCCTGATTTGTTGAACTATGAATGCTAATCCTTTCTATCACAGACAGCAGAAAGTCGGTCAGTTGTCCAGTTCCACTTCACAACCTGGCCTGACCACGGTGTACCTGACACCCTCGCTCTGGTCAACTTCATCTGGCTGGTGAGACAGGCAGCTGCTGAGACAAACGGACCACTACTCGTCCACTGCAGGTAGGCGAACCATCCAAACGTCAGACGGACCACTGCTTGTCCACTGCAGTTAGGCAAACCATCTCAACGTCAGACGGACCAGTGCTCATCCACTGCAGGTAGGCAAACAATAAAAACGTCAGACGGACCACTGCTCGTCCACTGCAGGTAGGCAAACCATGAAAACGTCAGACGCACCACTGCTTGTCCACTACAGGTAGGCAAGCCATAAAAACGTCAGACGGATCACTGCTTGTCCACTGCAGGTAGGCAAACCATCAAAACGTCAGACGGACAACTGCTCATCCACTGCAGGTAGGCAAACAATAAAAACGTCAGACGGACCACTGCTCGTCCACTGCAGGTAGGCAAACAATAAAAGCGTCAGACGGACCACTGCTTGTCCACTGCAGGTAGGCAAACAATAAAAACGTCAAACGGATCACTGCTTGTCCACTGCAGATAGGCAAACAATAAAAACTTCAGACGGACCACTGCTCGTCCACTGCAGACAGGCAAACCATAAAAACGTCAGGCGGACCACTGTTTGTCCACTGCAGGTAGGCAAACCATAAAAACGTCAGACGGATCACTGCTTGTCCACTGCAGGTAGGCAAACCATCAAAACGTCAGACGGACCACTGCTCATCCACTGCAGGTAGGCAAACCATAAAAACGTCAGACGGACCACTGCTCGTCCACTGCAGGTAGGCAAACCATCTAAACGTCAGACGGACCACTGCTCATCCACTGCAGGTAGGCAAACAATAAAAACGTCAGACGGACCACTGCTCGTCCACTGCAGGTAGGCAAACAATCTAAACGTGAGACGGACCACTGCTCATCCACTGCAGGTAGGCAAACAATCAAAACGTCAGACGGACCACTGCTCATCCACTGCAGGTAGGCAAACAAGAAAAACGTCAGACGGACCACTGCTCGTCCACTGCAGGTAGGCAAACAGTCTAAACGTGAGACGGACCACTGCTCATCCACTGCAGGTAGGCAAACCATCAAAACGTCAGACGGACCATTGCTCGTCTAATGCAGGTAGGCAAACCATCAAAACGTCAGACGGACCACTGCTCATCCACTGCAGGTAGGCAAACAATAAAAACGTCAGACGGACCACTGCTCGTCCACTGAGGGTAGGCAAGCCATCAAAACGTCAGACGGACCACTGCTTGTCCAATGCAGGTAGGCAAACCATCTAAACGTCAGACGGACCACTGCTCATCCACTGCAGGTAGGCAAACAATAAAAACGTCAGACGGACCACTGCTCGTCCACTGCAGGTAGGCAAACCATAAAAACGTCAGACGGACCACTGCTCGTCCACTGCAGGTAGGCAAACCATAAAAACGTCAGGCGGACCACTGCTCGCCCACTGCAGGTAGGCAAACCATCAAAACGTCAGACGGACCACTGCTCATCCACTGCAGGTAGGCAAACAATAAAAACTTCAGACGGACCACTGCTTGTCCACTGCAGGTAGGCAAACCATAAAAACGTCAGACGGACCACTGCTCGTCCACTGCAGGTAGGCAAACCATAAAAACGTCAGACGGACCACTGCTCGTCCACTGCAGGTAGGCAAACAATCTAAACGTCAGACGGACCACTGCTCATCCACTGCAGGTAGGCAAACCATCAAAACGTCAGACGGACCACTGTTCGTCCACTGCAGGTAGGCAAACCATCAAAACGTCAGACGGACCACTGCTCATCCACTGCAGGTAGGCAAACAATAAAAACGTCAGACGGACCACTGCTCGTCCACTGAGGGTAGGCAAACAATAAACGTCAGACGGACCACTGCTCATCCACTGCAGGTAGGCAAACAAGAAAAACGTCAGACGGACCACTGCTCGTCCACTGCAGGTAGGCAAACCATCTAAACGTCAGACGGACCACTGCTCATCCACTGCAGGTAGGCAAACAATAACAACGTCAGACGGACCACTGCTCGTCCACTGCAGGTAGGCAAACCATCAAAACGTCAGACGGACCACTGCTTGTCCACTGCAGGTAGGCAAACCATCAAAACGTCAGACGGACCACTGCTCGTCCACTACAGGTAGGCAAACCATCAAAACGTCAGACGGTCCACTGGTCGTCCACTGCAGATACGCAAACAATAAAAACGTCAGACGGACCACTGCTCGTCCACTGCAGACAGGCAAACCATAAAAACGTCAGACGGTCCACTGCTTGTCCACTGCAGGTAGGCAAACCATCTAAACGTCAGACGCACCACTGCTCGTCCACTTCAGGTAGGCAAACCATAAAAACGTCAGACGGATCACTGCTTGTCCACTGCAGGTAGGCAAACCATCTAAACGTCAGACGGACCACTGCTCATCCACTGCAGGTAGGCAAACCATAAAAACGTCAGACGGACCACTGCTCGTCCACTGCAGGTAGGCAAACCATCAAAACGTCAGACGGACCACTGCTCGTCCACTGCAGGTAGGCAAGCCATCAAAACGTCAGACGCACCACTGCTCGTCCACTGCAGGTAGGCAAACCATCAAAACGTCAGACGGATCACTGCTTGTCCACTGCAGGTAGGCAAACCATCTAAACGTCAGACGGACCACTGCTCATCCACTGCAGGTAGGCAAACCATAAAAACGTCAGACGGACCACTGCTTGTCCACTGCAGGTAGGCAAACCATCAAAACGTCAGACGGACCACTGCTCGTCCACTGCAGGTAGGCAAGCTATCAAAACGTCAGACGGACCACTGCTCGTCCACTGCAGGTAGGCAAACCATCAAAACGTCAGACGGATTAACATGTCAATCATATATATGTCATAGGACGAGGGGCGATGAAAAACTATGTAGAATCACCAGGAAAACGATGATAATGCAGTTATCATCATGTTCTATTTTTCTACATATTACCTGTCAAGCTCAAGCAATTTGGTTTGGCTATGTTCCAGTCTCACGATCCCCATTTTGTGTGACCTTTTATCTTGATACCCTCAAAAAAACAAAAAACTACAAGAAATGCATCAAACACCTCAGGAAACAAAGTATGCAAGAAATATTTTGTGTGTTTGAAATTGATAGAAGGCCCCTAGAATCACACTTAGATATTAAAGTTCATAAACAAGCAATTTAAAATTGCAATCGCTTGTTAAAGTGATTCCACCCTTCATGTTGACTGAAAGAGCTTGTTTTGGAGACACTAGCCATCCCCTTTCAGATGACGTAATCATAAAAACATAACTTATTCTAATGTTTTCACTTATTCATACATGATGCCAAGGGTTCAAACTAAACACTGAATGGTCACACAAGTGTCAGCTGACAATATATTGTAAACAGTACCAGCTTGAATATCTGGACACAATGTTTAAGGAAGATTGAAATTGGGGTGTCCTTAAACAACAGCCCTCGACAAAAATCTTTGACTGTTAATTATGAAGGGAAGTCATCCAATACTATACTGAACATATCTTATATGATATACTCTGAGGGCATACCATTATCCAAGAGGTACCAAATGACAGATCGTTTTTCAATTTCTGCAGTTTTGTTAGAAATATTATGCCCCAATATGTTGTGATGACTAATGACTCGTTAACCACATTACCTACATATGTGAAATATGACTTTGCTAAAGATTCCTTTATAATAAAATGAAAGCTTTTCAAACATTGGACATCGAGAATACAGTTAGTCTACGTACTTTTTGATCGACCAACGTAAATCCCAGGAATGATTCAATTTCATTTTCAGCCGATTACACAACTATAACATGTATAAAACAGTGAATATGACTTTGGAAACTATATCATATTATGTAGCAAATATATTCCCTTTCATCTATTTTACTTACCAAAATGAAAGTGAATTGCTGTGAACTAATGCATAAAGAGCATGGCGTATACTTTTCATTGACAACTTTAGGCCAGCTCCGGTAGAGGAAGTACATCAACTTAACTAGATATTCATAGCCTCCCAAAATGTCGGTATTGGAGGTTCAGACGTGTCCTCTCGTGTGTATTTTCAGCCTCGGAATGTTTATTCTCAGATGTTCAGATATGTATGCATTCTTTCAGCGCCGGTATCGGACGTACAGGCACATACATCGCCGTTGACTCCCTGATAGACCAGGCCCGAGGGGAGGGGGTGGTGGATGTCCTGGGGTATGTGTCAACCATGAGGGATCAGAGGAAGAACATGATACAGACTCCGGTAGGTGGAGTGTAGATGTCTGGACACTGATGGGTGAGCAATATCACAGCCATACACAGCCATGGAAACAAGGTCATCAGTAAATTCTGTTTAAAATATATGTCGAGAAAGGACAGTAAAACCAACTAGACTATCACAAAATACCTTAACTTTAGAGGACGATACAATATAAAAACAGGCTATAGATCGCCAACAACTGAGCACACTGATGGAAAACGTTAGGAGAGACTGAATAACAAGTTTTATGTTGATACAATGTTTCAATATTTGTTAAATTTTTTTATCAAAAGTTTAATTTGTGAATGTACCTTATTCGTTAGTACATGTATTATTTGCTGTTTTGGTAAGTGATATATCCTACATTCTCAGGTATTACTCACTGTTCAAACTGGATGGCTTTGCATTTCTTCTTTCCATATTTACCTATGCAGCCAAATTGCACGATCTTGGTAAAGCTAAACTCCCTATTTTGAAAAGTACGGAGGTAAATATGCCGTTTATGCTAGCATAAATGCTGGATAACACTTTCGCTGGACACGCTTTTCGCCTTAGTCTCGGGTTTTAAGTGCGCTTCAAACAAAATATGTATCTAGTTTGGATACCTTTTCCATCATTGCGTATTGAGATGATAATCATATATTAACTGGAATTTCGCAAGGCTTTCTAACGTGTATGCTGAGACATGGGAAGCTTATTCCTTAACTTAAGGTGTGCACAAAAGGTAACTTTTAATCATTGAAACTAGAATTATGTGGCTTATATATAATCCTAATTAGATTTCAGATGAGACACTTCCACAGTCCCATATCTTTAATTAGGCTTGTGAGTACGTTGGGATTTACGCCATTTTAAGCTATATTCCAGCAATATCACACTAGAAATGGACTTCACACATTGTACCCATGTGGGGAATCGAACCCGGGCCTTCGGCATGAGGAGCGAACCCTTTAACCACTAGGCTACCTCACCGCCCCAAATTAGGCTTGTATATTTTCCACAGGAGCAGTATCAGTGTGTCTTCCATTGCCTATTGGAGATGACAAAATATGGCAACACCAGCATGGACGTTGACAGCTTCATCAATTGCTATCTCAACAGTGGTATGGACACTACAGTGGACGGAAGGACTTTCAGGCAGATGTCAGAGGTCGGTTTACAGAGAACATAATACATCGTTCTTTCAGTTATCAGTATACCTAGTTCTGTGTATGCCATTATAAATTTCCCATTCTCTCACTTCTGTGTAACGGAGCCACTAAATAAGTATTTGAGACGGGATTTCTTTGTAAATTATCTTTGCATATGGTACATTAGATATGGTACATTACATATATGGTACAGAAACCGTACCGTAGTATTTATGATTGGTTACGGGTCATCCTTTACCTGCAACAAAACCTTCAAGCAAGAGCAGGTACCGAGACCTGATAGTTGGTCGAATTTGAAATCTTGTTTGGGTCGATAGAACAAGTAATTGTAGTTGTTTGGGTCATCTGAGACTCCCTGTCATTGTGTGAGTGTGTGCTCCAGTTTCAGTTATTTACAAGTTGCAATTACAAAAAAAACCGGTGTACACTAATTCACCCACCTATGCTGTATTTATGTTTAGGTTGTTCTGCCAATTCACTTTGCCCCAATAGCATTCGTAAAGTATTAAGACATCATTTGTACAAACGTTTGTCTTGTTGTGATATCTATTTCAAGTAACATCTATTTCTTCTTCTGTGTCAGTTTTTTTTCAAAATAAATCATAACACTACTGGTGTGAATCAATTGATTATTTGTCCATTCGATGTGAGTAAACGATGTGTTACTGCCTCATCCAATCAACATAAACCAATGCACATTAATAAAATTCACGTCAAAGAATGTATACACTGTATGATATTTGATTCTCTGATCGATTTTGTTGCAGATGCTTACAAATCAACAAAACGATGGTAAGTAGATACATCGTGTACTAAATATCGATGACAATGTAAACATCTTGAACGATATGTAGCTAGATCAGATTACCTTTTCCTTACAAATACGTATTAGTGGAATGATCGAAACATTAAATGTTGCAGATTGTCCCTCCCGACACAGGATGTTGGTGGATGGTAATCCTGACTTCATTGTCCGAGTGGGTCCGGTAGGTGGACAGAATTTCCTTGACGTGGACTGATGGTTTAAATTAAATATTATATGAAACGAATACGAACGGAACGAGTGTTATAATGTACACGTGGTTTGACAACCATATCAGCATCAGACAATCTATATTTGAGCATGCAAGTATCGTTGAAATGGTTACTGAAATTTTGAAATCTTTCTCTCTCCTCTCCTGTTAAGTTATACCTGCGTAAAGATCTAAAAAAACACTCGTAGGTGATCAACCTTCTAAGAATTTTCCAAACACAATACATATAATAGATATGCCGATTTTTAAGTAAATAAGATATGGCGTAAAAATGATTCGGTTTTATATTTATATCTACTTTGTTTTGAAATTTCGATTTGAACTAAACTGAACTCAAATATTCCCTCGATAGTTCTTTTCCAGAAAAGTAATAATGTGTGAAATGTCCACAATAATAGAGTAGCACGGCATATGATATTTTCCGTTCGTGACTTCCCGTGTATCATATATAATTGTTAAGAAATTTCACCAAAATCAAGAACATAATTGGAAACTAAAACTTTACCTTTTCATTTTGCATTTGAGAAGTATCGATCATTCACGTGTTTTAGTCTATGACCTATGTGAGCGGGTACCTTCAAGCGGTTGCCCCGCCAGCTGGGTTGGTGAAGCTGCTGTGGAAGCTGGTGGAAGAGAACAACGTCCACAACATTGTTGTCGTCACCCCACTGGAGGTATCTATTTGACAGCACTTGTGTTTCTTTCTGTCTTTCAGTATGCCAACCCTGGGGCAGGATGCGCTTGCAACACGCATCGCTGGCAACACCGCAGTTTGATACAATAATGATTCTTAATCATATGCCAAAGAGAATCTGCAGTGACCATGTATGATAATGGCAGTTAACTTATTCAATTCTATTTTCTGTCAATAATATTGATGCAAAACAGTATTCATGTTCGCATAGAAATATGTTCGCATGTTCAAATAAAAGCTGTTCATGTTTAAACTAACAATAGATATAATCTCTGTATCCTCTATACAAACATTAATCCTTGTCAAATGTGTTCTTAACGACATGGGGCGGTGGGGTAACCAAGTTGTTCAGCGTTCGCGCATAACGCCGACAACCCGGGTTCGATTCCCCACATGCGTAAAATGTGTGAAACCCATTTCTGGTGTACCCCGCTGTTTTATTGCTGGCCGATTGCTAAAAGAGGCGTTAAACTAAACTCACTCACTCAGCATGGTATATTACCAGTGAAGATCCGGGTCATCAGCAACCCATGCTTGTTGTAAAAGGCGACTAACGGGATCGGGTGGTCAGGCTTGCTGGCTTGGTTGACACGTGTCATCGTATCCCAATTGTGTAGATCGATGCTCATACTGTTGATCGCTGGACTCGGTTATTTACAGACCGCCGCCATATAGCTGAAATATTGCTGAGCGCGGCGTAAAACAACAACCCAATCAACCAACCAACATAACGACATATAAATATTGTACACCTACGTAATTGTAACAGCAGGGAAGTTATAACGCCTTGTTGCAAATATAAAATTATATAGTTTTGCGTAAATATGTAAACCAGTGTATTTTTCTTATCTCACTGACAATTTTGCTTATTCCCAGGCTGATGTTGCTGGAAAAGAGAACGAGGAGAAGAAGTATGGTGATGTGACCATAAAAACGACCAGTCAGATCAACCTTACTTCAGGCCTCATTCTTGTGAATTTAAAACTACAAACAAAGGCGAGAGTTCATACTTTAAACCGTTTGTATTTTGCATGTAATTTGCAAAATCACCCCCCCCCCAAAAAAAAAACAACAACTACAAACACACACACCACCCCCACCCTCCCCCACACACACACACACCACCCCAGAAAAGAAAACCCAACCAATAACAACAAACAATAAACAAAGCAAATACAGAACATAAAACAAAACAACAAAAAAACAAAAGAAAAACACTAGAAACGCAAAAGTAGCAACATTGGAGGCAATTTTGCTTATATTTATACAAAATGAACACAAAATATGAATTTCTTATTTGTGCATGTATCGGCATTGACATGGACCTCACACTGACATCATCTTCCCTCAGACTGACCTGATGAAAGTGGGTTAAACCCAATGCGCTGATACTCTTGTTTCGTGTTTTGTCCATTAAGAAGTTTTGATTTCTGTCACAGAACTCAAAAATCTCCCGATCAGTGAAGATGCTGCAGATACCTGGTCAAATCTCTATTGAACACCTTGGGGCCCTAATTCTAGGCAACCCCCACCTCCACCACCTGTCATGTCAGCCATACCCTACTGTTGTGCTGCACAGGTAAATTTTACATTATACATTTTGGCAAAAAAAATTCTTCCAAAGATCAAATACTACTGATACGATTTTTTCATGAAAAATGATCTGGTTTGAATCAGTGTCGAATTGGTATAACTGAAATATTGTTCAAAACATGATTATATAGGTTACGGTGTGTTTTCAGAGAGGCTGACCGAAAGACTGCTGTGTCTCTTGGCATCATGGGAAACATTCTCTGTGGCATCCTTGATGATCATCGCGTGGACGTCGTCGGGCATGTCAGAACATTCCTCCAAAGTTGTCCTGGCTTTCATCTTACAAGGGTGTGTGTTTACTCCTATATTGTCGCCAGTTCTGATATTGTCGGGTATTTAACCGGTCAGCAATATCCCAACTGTAAGTCAATATTCCAAGTCTGACCAAATCTAACAAGTGATTGATATTAAGAGCAACGATCTATGCCCTCGGTACTGACATGTAATCAGCCATCTCTCCGAGACTGACAACTTCAACCCCAAATTTCTCAAAGTTTGAACAGTGGCAAAACCTCAATCCAGTCTCATGTGATGAGGTTACACATTTGCTTCTAAATATATGTAAACTGTTGGTTGGTCCCTTATCAATGTGGCAATCCGAACACAGAATATATCAGTCAAAGCTTCAATCGAAGCAACATCCGCAATCCGATATCATGGTGTGAGGCTTCCAATGTTAACCGTTGAATGGGTGATACATCTCCAATATTTTCACCGGACTTTGAATGATTAGTTACCCTATTTGAAAAATGCACACGCCTTTCTCTGATTGATATCACCCATCACCCGCCTATGAGAGTAACGTCCTAGTAAAGAAACATGGATCCACACATCAATGTTTCTAGAGTATTACTTCACTCTGTCCAGTTGATACAAATGTAATATAAATAGGGGTTTCATCTGCTACCGAGTTGATTATGTAAGCAAACCATTCGTGGATGATGATTTCTTCGTAGATGATCTCCTTTAGTTGGTATTTCTTTGGTGTTTAACTCCCCAGTCAGCAATGATCTACCTATGTCACGGTCTGATTTATATTATGAGCTTGACACACTGCCGGGGTTATCTGACACTTTATGTTTAATCTATCATCAGGCGCAGTAAGTGCCAGTCTCCCTTTACTACCACCATCGGTTGATACACATATATTCTTATCCACCATACCCGCTTGGGCTCAAAGCGTTTTGATTTGCTTTGATAATTCCACGAAGTAGTTGCTGTTGCAGGATGATGTCCGGTTGCTGTTTGACTTCAGCCGTCAATGTGGGCTGATGGAGGCGGCGGCAGGCAACTACACTAATCTGTGACAGTGGACAGTTTCTGCGTACAGCTGGAAGTTATCACATAATGACCCTTAATATTTCTTATTCACTGGTACAACTGTTTATTTTCACAATGTAACCTTCTTAGTTTTTCATTTTATTGCATTGTATTTTACTTCGTTGCAATGCTGTTGCATATGTCATATGTTCGATTTTTCTATTTGTACATATTAATTGAGACAATAAGTTAGGATACCTTAACATGCGCTATCTGAATTAGCTGGTGTTCTTAAAGACAACAACCTACACATGTTCTTGACATTTGTGGCAAGCAGTTTGAATGTGGGGGAATGAGAGTCGAGGATAATGGAGTTCCAGAGGATACAATGATTATTTGTATGTGTTACTCCAAACCCATAATGCCATCAGTTATTTAGGTTAAGTGTGTCTAACAAACAGCAATTAAGAATACTGTTTTCAAAATGCACCTACCATGACACGGTCTTGTAGAAATTACACATAATTAGGAACAATTGTTTGCAAATGATGTAGCGTTTGTCTCCCTTTTAAATAATTCATAACTAGCTTACAGAAACGAACTCAATCATATTTCATATTAATCAATACATTTTCAAATTTGGTCAAACAACATCACTTTGTATCAAAAGCAAATAAAACCTAAGATATGATTATTGATATCTGAGGAAAGCTTACTTTACGAGCTGCAAAATTTTGAACGAACTTTTCCTATTTTCTTTCCATCGAATTTAATTTCCATCGATATTAAAAAAGAAACAGGTCTCGCCATTCATTTACCCATGTCAGTATCAGAGTGTTTAATAACAGTTCTCTCTTACCCTATAAATGTTGCTCTTATATCTTAAAGGCACCATGTCACACTTCGCTAAAAATAAATAATGCAAGTGTCTCAATAACACTAACCATCAGCCCTCAGGGAAGCTACCATATAATTCATTACAATAAACATTACGTAGCTAGATTACATTAATAAATTTAAAAAGTTCGAATGAATTAATGCCCTCAACAGACCGTACTTTCTTTCAAGCGAACCCCATAGAGTTATCTCCCTTGGAACGCTCTTTACGAATACCCTACGCACAATTTGTGATTGAAACCAGTTTGGCCAACACATCCATCACAGCATGCAACAGTTGCTGATGTACGGAGCAGTTATTTACATTCCATATATGGCAAGTGTTCTCTGTTTGGAAGCTGTTAACCTGGAAGTTTCAAGTATCGGTTTCAGGCAAGTCGTAAAGGATAATAAGTATTTTATTGCAACTATAGGAATTTAAAGCGAGTGCATATGCCCCAATATAATAATATAAGCGAAACTATTGTCGAGAATGTGTTACATTGTGCCTTTACCTCCGATACCTTTTGTAATGACCTTTTTAAGTGCTGTACATTTATATTAGCCAAAGTAGTATCTGAGCTATTAATAATAGCATACGTATAGTTTAACAGTTGTGTCTTATTGCCCATTTTTCAGACTGTTTCTCTCACTTTTCTCTTAGTTTTAGAGCATGTTCCGTAGTGCTCTACAAAACAGTAAATGCTTAACTTCATTCGTATGTGTAGTTTGTTGTATTTTATTGCTTCCTGTTATATTTTCACTCACGATGTAGCCAGAATTGTCATTGGAAAATAAAGTTTCTTCTAATCTGATCTGCAACTTATTGTGAATAGCCTAAACAGTGTAAGTTTATATTCTTAACAGGTAACTGATTACCTTTGGCTACAGAGCCATGCATGAAGATCTGAGATAGAAAGGACATTCAACAACTTATGCTTGACGTAAGATGGTCAGGCTCGCTGTCGTGCTTGACACATGTCAACGTTCCCCAATTGTGTCTACAGATCGATCATGCTATTATCTCTGGCTTGTCTGGTCAAAACTCGGCCATTCATAGACCGCCGCCATATACAGTATACTTTGGTTATAATGCCAGCGTTTGTCCAGGAGAAAATATGGCATTATATCCAGGGTGGCATTATAACCAGGTAGGACAGTATGCAATGAACAAGGTGGTCGAGGTGATGCCTCACCTCATGAGACTTGTGTGACTAAATGATCACAGCGTCTTGGGGATGCAGGTGACTTCTTCTTGTTGGTTGCAGGAAGTGTATTGTCACATGTTTTATCCTATCTTGGATTACATGGCTACTGAAATCTAAGCATTAATGAGTTTGGTCAATTGATTTGAGTCATATCTATTAACTAATTATGGCATGTATACTACCTGCAGCCAGTGTAATTGACATTTAAACCAAACGAAAATGACATTTTGTTCCCCAAATAATTGGCATACGGCGTTATATCCAGTTGGCATTATAACCAAGGTATATTTTAGGCAGGAAATCCGTTCTGGCAAAAAAAAGAGCAAAATATCCAGGGTGTCATTATAACCAGGGTCATTATAACCAGGGTGCACTGTAACTGGAATACTGTAGTGTAGATTTTACAACCAACCAACCAGCCAATCTTTGGCTTCGTGGGTTACATTTTTTTCCTTCGTACTCAAATGTACTTGTATAACATAAGCTGACAGCTGTTTAGTTTTGTGTTTCCGTTCAAACAATGGGTACATCAGAGACTACCGGGAATTTAACACATCCTATCCGACACATCCTGGTTTATAAAACTGATACATATAATGTAAACCAGAATGCCGTTGTACAAAACAACCTTAGCGCAAAGACCGCTTTGTACTAAGGCACCCAGGTCCATGCTGTTCGACCGTGAATTCAACATGTACACGTTCGAGACAAGGCAATCGAATGTAGGTTCAGGAAGAACGCCTAATTTGAATGAAATAAAAAAAAGGTATAATTGTTTTTATTTCCGCGGTATGATGGAGGCCTTACATAATGGAGTCAGGATGAAACACAATGTCAAAAGACTGACACCATGAGCATCGTTTTGTACACTTGGAATACGATGACATGTTTGCGAGCCTGACGCCAGTTCGCGCCTCTGATGACATGCGTGGGATACCGATGGTCAAGCCAAGTCCCGGACTTCACGAAGTGCTGTGCATTAGCATTTAATAATAGTGTACAGTCCTAACAAAGTCCTAGTCCATCTAGGAGTGAGTTTAGTTTTACGCCGCACTCAGCAATATTCCTGTTATATGGCGGCGGTCTGTAAATAATCGAATCTGTACCAGACAATCCAGTGATCATCAGCATGAACATCGATCTACGGAAATGGGATACGATGACATGTGTCAACCCAGTCAACGAGCCTGACCACCCGATCGAATTAGTCGCCTTTTACGACAAGCATGGGTTACTGAAGATCAATTCTAACCCGGTCGTATCCGTCTAGAGAATGATATGTCAGATATGTAGACTACCGTTGATTCTTTGGCGAAGTAGTGTCCATGAAACATTCGTCCTTGGAAATGAAGATATATTGTACTCGTGTCTAGCTATGCGTTAGCTGCATCCATTCACATGGCCAGCTTAACATGAAGGACATGTCTGTAATGACATCTGCTGAATTTGCTTTACTTTGCTTTTATGTTATTGCAAGCAAAACGTCAAAATGAGAAGCATGTTGCGAAATCCTTCATATACGACATTCCCAGGAAATTCTGCTTTGTCCCATGAAATTAACTTTTCTGTCAACACAGTTATAGGATATTTAAATCTTCGTCCTGGTCTGTGCGGCAGAGTGTTACAATGGCCGTGAGTGACGGTGTTGTGCTTTTGCTTGCCAGTTTCAGCCTCGTTTCATGTGAGTATTTTCTTTGTGCAGGTGTAGAAGCGCCAGCTCTTGTAGTTAGAATTTTCTTATATATCCTCGACTATGCCATGTATACCGTATACATGTATATCAACTTTATGCCGTATAGGACCACTGATAGATATGATGAGTTTACTGACAGCATGGGGGTCCACTGGTCCGTATATTCAGATACAAGTTACAGCGTATAACATAATAAAGCGCCTGAAATATATATTATACATGTGACTGTAGAAAACGTGATAGTAATTTAAATCCTAAGAATACATACTTTGCAAGCAGTGATACATTAGATGCGATCAATTGTTGAAATTGTATTTGTGAAGGAAATGAATAGTAATATGCAGGAATGATAGAGCGTCCAAGACCATTATAAAATGGACATTCAAGACAAAAGTGGTATTCTGATTCTATGTTCCTAACTACACAAAAGAACATAGCCTGTCTTCTCTATTTAAACGTATTTTTCAACCTTCTTGGATTAATAACTTATGACTAGAGCAGCGGAGATATGAAAGGGCAGTACGATAAACGACATATAAACTTCAAGGTTTGCCTCATGTTTTATTGAACGGTACAAAGTTTATAAATTTAGTTTTTAAACTTATGCAGACCTTCAATCCAGCGTTGCTTATCTGTATCTATACATACAGGACCACTATACAGCAGAGGCAGAACACTGATGTTGACTTGAAGCTCGTCACCACCAGTTATTACTTCCCGTTTGACTACATCGCCAGCCTTGTTATTGTGTGGATGTCAGTCATGACAAGAAACGCTCTGATTATTAGAGAATAGGTGATAGGGGTTTAGGTTTGTATTTAAATACATATGACCTAGGCCAAGGGACCAATAAATACCGGCTGCGCTTCTGTCTCCCATAATGTTTGTTTTTAACCCAAGTGTGAAGGCTGAAACAGTGTGTCTATACTATGTTGGTTCATAAAACCGGGTGTGAAGGCTGTGACACTGCGGCTCCACCACGTTCCTTTAAACACCTTAGTGTGAATGATGTGAAAGCATGTCTCCATTGCATTTGCTTAAACATCCTAGTATGAAAGCTGTGACAGTGTGTCTCCTCCTCGTTTGTTTAAAACCCGTGTGTGATGGCTGTGACAGTGTGTCTCCACAATGTTAGTTCCTAAACACGTGTGTGATGGCTGTGACAGTGTATTTCCATTATGATGATTCCTAAACCCGAGTGTGAAGGCTGTGACAGTGTGTCTCCACTACGTGTGTTGAAAAATCCGTGTGTTCTATTCCTAAACCCGGAAGTGACGGCTGTGACTGTGTGTCTCCACTATGTTTGTTTATGAACTCGAGCGTAAAGGCTGTAAAAGTGTGTCTCCACTCCCTTTGTATAAAATCCCGATCGTGAAGGCTGTGCCAGTGTGTTTTCACTATGTTGGTTCCTAATCCCGGAAGTGGCGGCTGTGGCTGTGGCTTCACTACGTTTGTTTATGAACCCGAGTGTGAAGGCTGTCAGGTTTACTCCCATAACGCAGACCTCCCAAAACGCAGACCTTCCTAAATGCAGATAAAAATAGCACACTAATTAATTGGGTCATGCTGGTCACCCCTAATTAATGAATGGCCTGGTCTACAATTTGATAAAGATGGAGAAAAACAATTGACTAAGTGAACATCATTGTTTAACACCAGTGGAACAATCAAAAATATTTTTCCAAGGATACCATTTTTTAAAAGAAGAAAAAGTAATTTATCGAAAAACCATATCGAACGCTTTCTTGAAATCCACGAAAGCACAGTGGAATCTGCATTTTCTTCGAGTTATATGCCCATGAACAATGGATTGAAGAATAATTTACACAAAGTGTCCAATAACGATATAGTTATAAATATAGTTTCTAGGTTCATTATTGCTTTCCTTTTTATGTAGAGGGTAATGTCCGAGTAACTCTCCATTCCTTAAAAATAATGGAGCCGAGGCCCCGGAGACTCGTGAGTTACGAGGATATTACCCTACTTAAATTACATTCAAAGTTTTGGGAATATTTCTGTTATCAAAATTAAATGTCAAAATGACAAAATGAAGGCTTTAATTTGAAACTGATACACATCGCTCCATTCCTGAAAAGTAATGGAGCGAGCAGACAATGTAATGACGTCACAAATGTTATTTAAATATATATACTATAATAGAGGTAGTCCATGCAGCTTGGAAATAACCTTTACATAATATTTGTGAAAAAAATAAAGCAAGGTACTGGCTAGCGAACAGTTATCGCGGCGTAACAGTTAATGCCAATACATCAGTATCACACGTGTGCAGTTCCGGTCAATTACAATTCCGGTATTTTTTCCCATGGTATTCGACAACAATAAAGGACAGCAAACGAAAATTCTTCACGGCAAGTAACATGAGAAAAAAATTAAAGATAAAGTTATGAACCCTATAAAAAATTAACTTAGTCGGGGGATGTCCCCCGACATATATAAAAGCAAGTTGATGTTCACAAGTCATTAATTGTTTCATTCCCTATCAATCTACTGTAAAATAAACACTCAAATAGTCACACAATCAATTATTAGAGGTTACTGTATGATATAAATATATATTATTTCATGAATGGCATGATAAATTCTGAATGGCGATAACTGTTACAGTTAGTTGTGAGGAAACATCTATTTATACTGCCATGATTCCCTTCCGCCGCGTTATATAAAAGCACGATCGGCGGCAGTGAACGGGTTGGACACATCGATGAATAGCTAATTAAGTAACATGATTAATTCTGTTTCATTAATTTAACGAACGACGGAGTAATTTTGCAAATACCGCTAAAATATGGCGATAACTGTTCTCTAGCCACTAGGGTGCAATCATATCCTTTATTTTCTTTAAAAATTCTGTTGGAATACCGTCGTCTCCTAGCTACTTATTCAGTATAGCATCGTCTGTTGCAGATATACTTTCTGCAATTGTTATGTAATAAGACAGTTCATCATTTACACAATCAGAATAATGTTCATTTTCAGGCATATAGTTTCCAATATAAGCATTCCACTCATCACGTGATACATGATTTGATAAATCTATAAAATATGTATACCATGTTTCTGGTAAAATATTATTCTTATCAGATCGCTTAGATGAATATCTTTGAAAAACCTGTACATATTATTCATGAAATATATATTGACGAAATAAAGGATCACTTGCTAGATTGTCAAAACTCGTTACGTGGGTGATACCATTTCTCTTAATCAAGGGTACATCTTACTAATCGCGGATGCAACTAACTATAACAAGTGGTGTTTTAACGGGTCTGCGTTTTGCGAGGATACCGGCTGTGACAGTGTGTGTCCACTATGATAGTTCCTAAACCATATCGTGAAAGCTATGACAGTGTGTCTCCACAATGCTAGTTCCTAAACCCTATCGTGAAGGCTGTGAGAGTGTGTCTCCACAATGTTAGTTCCTAAACCCTATCGTGAAGGCTGTGAGAGTGTGTTTCCACAATGTTAGATCCTAAACCGTATCGTGAAGGCTGTGACAGTGTGTCTCCACAATGTTAGTTCCTAAACCCGAATGTGAAGGCTGTGAGAGTGTGTCTCCACAATGTTAGTTCCTAAACCGTATCGTGAAGGCTGTGAGAGTGTGTTTCCACAATGTTAGATCCTAAACCCTATCGTGAAGGCTGTGAGAGTGTGTCTCCACAATGTTAGTTCCTAAACCCGAGTGTGAAGACTGTGACAGTGTGTGTCCACAATATTAGCTCCTAAACCCTATCGTGAAGGCTGTGACAGTGTGTCTCCACAATGTTAGTTCCTAAACCCGAGTGTGAAGGCTGTGAGAGCGTGTCTCCACACGAGTATGAAGGCTGTGACTGTGTGTCTCCACTACGTTTCAGTAACATAATATTTCAAACATGGGTAGCTCATTCGGGCATTGTTTTCATATTCAAATGTAAATGATCACACAGAATAAATGAATAAATGGTGAGAGGTTCAGACATTATTCACATATAAATAGTATATGATGTTTAGCATGAGTATATTCATCATGGAAACTATGACAAAAACAATAAATAGATTAATAAAAATCTCTGTCAACATGTTTATGTTCTGAACGCCCTACATAAACTACTGAAAAAAGAAACGCATAGCACAGATTTTCAGGTCTTGTCTCTTTAGGATGAATCGCAAACATTAGGTACTTTAACATTTTGGTAACTTATACCTCCTTGACCCCTTTCCGAGTTTGTATCTCTAAGTGCAGAAAACCATGCCTGAAACTCAACCCAAACTGTTTTTTAGGAATAAATGTCACATAAGACACGGGTTTGTCGGACACGTGAAAGTAATGACTAGACTTACTGAGGCTTACCGGAGTAATGCGATTGGATATTTTGGAGGCTTGTGAATCACAATCAGCGGCGCCTACATGTATCCCAGAACACAATAGGAAGACTGTGGCATCGCTTTCAACAGCATGGGACCACACGGGATATACCGCGCTCCGGAAGATCACGCGTCACCACGCCCGCCCGAGACAGATTCACCCGTTTACGGTATTTACGTGACAGATTCCTTACGCCATCCTCTACCACAACCTCACGTACGACGGCAACTGTGTGAGTGAGTGAGTTAAGATTTACAGTCACATCGGCAATATTTCAGTCATATCGTGTCTAAAACAAGTTTGGAATTCACCATAAATGCATGTAAATTATATTAAAAAACTGTCATCGAAGGACAGCAAAAAACAACTAGAATATCACAGTATCAAGAAATAAAACTAGCAGTTCTCTCTAAAATGGCTATAGGTCACCAACAACTGCGGCAACGGTATGTCAACCATCGGCCATGGCCAATGCAGAGACGAAGAACAGTCATTTTTAGTGACGAGTCACGGTTTATACTGAGACGTCCAGACGGGAGATCACCCGTGTATGGACGACGTCATGAAAGTTTTTCTGCAATATGTGCGCTGGAAGTCGACAGATTTGGCCCGGGTGGTGTTATGG